AAATGATCAACAAACCCTTCACACTCCTCCTCCTTCTCCTCCTCCTCTTCACCCGAACCTCCTCCGAACCCTGCGGCAACAAATGTGGCAACCTCCAAATCAAGTACCCGTTCGGCACAGGCCCCGGCTGCGGCGACCCTCGCTTCCAACCCTACATAACATGCAACCCCCAACACCAACAACTCACCCTCTCCACCCACACCGGCTGCTACCCAGTCACCTCCATCGACTACTCCACCCAACTCCTCCGCATCTCCGACCCCACCATGTCCACCTGCTCCTGCACTCGCCCTAGCCGCGGCTTCGGCCTCGACTGGGACGCCCCTTTCTCCTTCCACCACTCCACCGTCTTCACCCTCCTCGACTGCAACAACAACAGTAACTCCTCCATTCATTTCCCTATGTGCGACTTGGAAGGGGCAGACGACGTCTGCACCTTCCTCTGCTCGTGCGAGGCTGCCGACAGACTCAGCCTGCCAGTTTCCTCGTGCTGCGTGTACGCGCCGGTAGACTTGGGACCCGCGTTCGAGATGGACCTGGGGAAGCTCGGGTGCGGGTCCTACTCGGCGGTGTACAGGTCCAACGACCCGCAGGCGTGGGACTATGGGATCGGTATCGACTATAAGTTCAACTACGCGAACGATTATCCGGCGAACTGCGCGAGCTGCGAGAAGAGTAATGGTGTTTGTGGGTATGAGGTGGGTCCCGCGGGGAGTTTTCTTTGTAACTGTCCGGGAGGGGTTAATACGTCAACCGATTGTTACTTTGGGCAGAGTTGGAGCGGCGCCGGTACATATTTTTTTTATTTTTATTTATTTATTTATTTTTTACTACTGGAAATGAACATGCATGGCATTGAAATTTTGTGTTTGTTTGCAGGGAGTCTTGCAGCATTTTCGCTGAGATGGTTGTGGTTCGTCGTCATCTGGGCCTTTGTGTAGCCAGTCATTCTGTGAAAAAACAGATTGGGTTTCAATAAATTGTGGATATGTTATATGTATGTTGCCTTTTTTTCATTTCATGGCGTTAACATTTTAATTACTTTCTCAATGTAAGTCCACTTATTTTGTTTGTACCTCATTTGAGACTGATGGTCAATCGTGAAAATTTGACAATTGTTTTCCAGCTGACTACAATTGTGGGACTATTATAATTTTTGATTCAGTACCAGTCAACAAGTGAGCAATACCAATTGTTGCTACGACAACACTAATAAAATTAAAACCTATAGACACATCTAAGAACCCTTGAAATTCAATAGGTGCCATCTACTTTACAAAAATTTAAAAAAAATAAAAACTTTAGGTAATTAAAATTCGCCTTAATTTATATTATGGAACATATTCTCACCAGGCCTGGTGGGGTCGAGACAATTGCAGAATATGTGACGCGTTCCTGAGTAAAGAGTGGAGCTTTTAAGCCTCAAGGAATCAGCAGTAAATAAAAATTTAATAATAGTTAGATGCAACAATAATGCTTGTATAGAATAAGTTCCTTGTGAAAAAGTGCTTCCTCGCCCTAAAGGGAATCATTTTCCTTTACAAAATGCTGTCTTTCTTCTTATATCCCAAATTCCATGAGGAAGCTTCATATAAGAATCAGCATCATTTGTTTCCCCACAATGTGCTCTTGCCAGTACTGGAAATCCTCCACTTGCACTACTCAAAACATAAGTCTATTAATCAAACCATGTAGTTACAGTTACTTTGCAAAACATGCATTGGGCTTTATTTAGCTGCAGAAATTCTTGTTGAGCTTACTCTTTGCAATTTTCCATGATAACCTCAACGACATGTAATTTTGACTACTCTTAACCTAATAATCTTAAACAGTATACATGATAACCTCAACGACAATTTTTTATATCTGACAATAATTTAATAATAACGCCATAACAAGTTGAAATTATAGATGTGGAGGAGTACGTTGTGTTTAGACTGTTTGGTTGTTCGAGGATCAATTTTGTTATGATTTGCAATGGAGTCAGTAATATTTATTTGTGGACATTTAGAAGTCATTATCTTTGCTTTGTGTCTACTGTGGTGAACTCAACCCGTGCGTTGTTTGTTGATGATTTGTATCTATTATTTAGTTACATGTATTATGTCTTTTACCTGCTTCACTTGTTGTCCATTTGTTGCTATGAATGTTGTCGTAAAAAAAACATATGCAATTGATAACAAAACAGAAGTACAAGCATAAAAACAAACCAAAGCCAAAATACAAATAACGATAACCAAATCCAAGTTTCCAATATCATCCTGAAAAGCGAAAGAAATACAAAATAATGTTCGCAACATCCACACAAGTTCATAACATCATACCCAAAAAGTTTGCAACATCAACCATAAGTGCACACGATCCACTACATATTAGACTTCCACGATGCTACTTAGTGATTCATGTCAAGGAGGTGTATTCTAGTTATGGTCGTTTTCCATGTTATATATTACCGTGCATTCTCTTTTTATTTATTTCTTACTTTTTTTTATTTACTTTTTACTTTTTTTCATTTTTTATTTACTTTTTTTTTTTTTNTACTTTTTATTTTTTATTTTCATCGATTATTGACACAAAAGTTTTTAAGAGAGAAGATGAATTTTGAGCGTGATTGAGCATGAGAATATATAGATGATGTTGGCATCACATAATTTGGAAACAATGATGGATAGTTAAGAAAGGTGTTTGCTTGGATGAATATTAGAAATTGTTTGAGAACATGTAACATCAATTCTTTAAAAATGTCTACCAAAGGGACCTGTATGAGAAAATATGCCTAGCGAATTTTTATAGAATTTCATAGAATACTGTAGCAGAAAATTATTTTGGAAAAAAAGTTACCTAACGCGCAATCTTCAGTTTGTTGCAAATTGATGCACCGATTTACATATCCCGTGCAAACTATATCACAGTTTGTTAACTCCATGCACACTGCCATGTCACTTGTATTAATCTATATTTATCTATATTCTTCTATTATAAAAGGACGAGTGATTTTGTAAAAATATGAACTATCTCAAATGCCCTTACTTTGATATATTTTTAATTGTAAATTAGTAATACAATAATACCTATTTTATTTTATATTTTTAATTAACAAATGAACTACCTAAAAAATCTTTACTTTGACTTATTTTTAATGACAAATTAGTAATATACTAATACTCATCATATTTTATACTTTTAATCAATAATTAATATTTAGTTAGATAAATATAGATACACGAACAAAACATTATTGATCTCCTAAAAATCAACCTCAACATTCTCATACCATTATTCCTCACGAATTTGTTTCTTTTACATATCTGTCAACCTCAACATTGCACCTTAGATTTATTGAATTGAATTTTTATCCCACAAAAACGTTATTTATTTGTTTGTTTGATTATTTTTTTTAATTTTGGTCACAAAGCCAATAAAGTTAATGAATTTTCACCTGACCATTAGGTGAAGAACATATGAAAGAACAATACAAAGTACAAAAATATTAAATTTGCTAAATATTATAAAAAAAATATAATTAAGTAGTCATACTTACTAATAAATATGAAAAGAAGTAATAAATTTAAAATATTATAATTAATAAAAATAAACACAAAACTTTTAAAATTGTACTTATTGATGCAAACGAACGTGTGAGAAATATCTCGTAGATNAAATACATCCAAATCCCATAAAAATTTATACGGAACGTAAATGTGTAAATATTTATTATAGGGAGTCTAAATGTGTAAATTTCCCTTCTTTAAAAGCGATTGTCATGACTCATGCAACAGATCCTTCTTTATCAAGTTCTTGTTACATCTTCCTCGTTTATTCTCGGGCCACTTCAGATATACCATGCTGGGCCGAGTTCCACAATCACTGATTCGATCTAGTCAAAGTTCACATCTTAGATCCTGTTGAAGCCGAGGAGAGATGCCTGCGAGTCCACTAAACTACATTTCTAGCTAAAAAAATGATGTAAGGTTGCAGCCTGAGATTTGAAACCTTAAAAGGAAAAACACACTCAAATCTGTTTCTAGTTACAAAAAAAGCCGTAAGATTGATGATGCCTGGAATTTGAAACATGACGGCCCTAAAAAAGAGAATAAAAATAAACAACAGTACATGACCAAGTAAGATGGTAATATTTTACTACTGAAATAGAGGCTACAACATATGCTATCAACAGAAAGTACAACTATAAACATCAAATCAACCCAAAGACCAAGTATCTTGCCACTTCAAATAATAAACCACATCTATCGCGTGTAAAGCCAATTTAAAAGTCACCCAGTCAATACTCATTGCACTATAAGGCACTTGATTACAAGGGAAATGACGATATGACAAAAATATGGATTTTGGCCATAACTTACAACACTCGTTAGATTAAAAAAAACAACTAGGAAAAAGAAAAAAAAAAGGAAAGAAAGCAACCAAATAAAGGATAAAAGAAGAAAATAGAAGAAGAGGGGAAAAGATGAGTTCCTATAAGTAGAAATCACAGTGTAGATTTAGAACCTAGAATTAGAAGATAGTCTCATTGGCCCACTACCGACTGCAGCACTACTTCTCTTTCGTCTGAAGTATATAAAAGAGCCACTGCTTATTAGCATAGCTAACATAAGTGCCTGCACATAAATGAAATCTTATTTCATATCAGGAACTTGGTGAATCAACTCAAAATTCAGAAGTAGAAAATAATGGCATATGATTATGCAATGAAAATAACTTATAGTCGAGTACGAGACGCACGACTTAATGTTATCTATACTAAAGCTGTTGGCTTTTATCTCCTTTCAAAATAGTTTATGGCAATCAATTGGGAGCCCTTTCTCCATCATATGGCATATAAACATGGACACATTTATGCGGCCTCCAAATGCAATTCTCTTTCATCAGTTTCACACCATATCAAAATAAAGACTAATAAAGAAAGGTGCATAATTAAAACCCAATTCCAAGTACATACTCACTTCACAACCTCAAACTACCAGAAAAAAAAAAAAAGTTTAAAATAAACATCAACTTGTCATCTCTCATGCAAATTGATGATGGCAACTAATTTATCGACTTTCATAATTAAGAAATCCCTGATCAATGAAACTTTATCTCAATATTATTGCATAGAGCATCTGCATGAGGCCCCCACCCACTGTACTCTATCAAGAGTCACCACAAGCATCACTAAAGAAGAAAAAAAAGAGAGAAAGTTCAGTATTTTCTTTGCATCATTCCCAATATATAATGCCACCTTTCTCTAAGCTATTGCTTGACATTTATTTACATACATTATTCTAACATATAGGTATCCCTGCATAAGCACAACCGTTCTCGAACTATTCCCTGATTTTTTACTTCTTACAAGTCACACCACTACAGTTGAACGTCATCATTTCAGATACATCCCATTAAGTACATGTTTCATATAATTAGCCCAAGCCCAAATATAAGTTCTTCTCGACCTGGCAAGGATTCATTCTTTGAAAAAATTCATCAATTAGAATTGGCTTTTTGTAAGTTTCCAAGCATAAGAACAAACGAACATCTGAGTTAAAGTACAGGTTTTTTCCAACTAATTTATAATCCATTTTCTTCTAAATTCACTCTCTACCATCCCTTGCAACATTTTTCCAGCCTCACGAGTTAAATTATTAACTCACAAAATAGAAAGCAAACCCGCTCACCTCGTACAATTCTTTTCTACCATTTTTGACAAAAAGGGATTACCTTTAAAAAAGCTAGGTTACCTGTTTCACCTTTTATATGAAAGTACACAGCATAATTTTTTTTTTTTCTTTTTCCCAAGCCTGGCATAATACCATAACCATTCAAACGAGTCCTGTCCCATGCATCTACTATGTCAATAAAATTGATATCTCTAACAAAACAGTTTATGTGGAAATAATCCTCTAACACATTCAAATTGATGTTATCAATGGCGGATGGCAGAAAATGGGGGCAGGCTAAAATCCAGCAATAGCAGTCGCCATTGCAACTGCCATAACGCCATCTTCACAAGTTTCTAATGGCATGGCGGAAATTCGATAACACCCAAATTAGTTTGCATATTTGAGGTGACCAGAAAATCACATACATAACCTCAGCGCATTATTTCACGTAAAAAATCTTTTTTCATCAATCTCTAAGCTCCATAGTGAAGCCAGCATCTTACCTGCTCAAAAGTCCACATTTTAAATGTGGCCATCGATATTAGTTATTACAAATTCAACTTACACAGCAATATTTATACCGACTTCACCTGATGTTTCCGAAGTTGATAAGTAAAATTTAAGCTACATGAAAAAGATATAGATCCAAGGCATAAACAAAAATTTATTATTAACTTACCTCAAAACCTAGCACTGACATTCTTTCATCATTTACAGCAGGTATACAGCTCCTATAAGTGACATAAGCACCTGATCCACCTTTTGATTTGGATGACTCAACGAGTAACCTACTTTGAACTTTTGAGGAAATAAATCGGTCCATACGAGGCTGATTAGAACCAAGATTCCTATGCTCAAGCATAGATCTTGTCTTGTGTGCTTCCGAAACTTTCGAATCCTTCGAATCAGCTTTAGAGGGAATGCATTTCAAACGAATGCGATATACAGTTTCGCTACAACGATACTTTTCATCATTCTAAGGAAAAAGCATAAAAAATTATGTGTAAGAAATAAACTGGTGAACTTACATAAACATTCGTAGAACTATAAAAAATTAAGCAATAAAGCTCCACTTTATTTCTTCTTCCTCTAACGTCTTCACATGTAGTGCAAAGAAATTATATTTCCAACATCCAATCAGATGGTTAGGGTTATTAACAATTTTCTATTGATTAGATTTGAAAAATTGATGACAAAAGACAAAATTATACAGAACAATAATGGCAAAATGAGTTCAATGGGTAACAGAGATTGTACAGAATAACCATCTGAGAAACACATACTTTCACAAGAATAACAAGATTTGTTAGGAAATAAACTGACTGTAAAACAACACAGTGTTGAACAGGATACACTATAAATGAAAGCAGTCAATGAAAACGAGCAAAAATCATGAGATGTAGAAAAATAAAACTATAACTAATAAGTACCAATCTAAAACCCCAATAAAAGAAATACCTTTTCAGAGCGCGAGCAGGGTATGCAAGGGCCCGAAGGAGAACAATCAAAGGTGACATTTCCTCCATCCGGCGTCTCCTTAATGCCCATCAATGATCTGCCTTTTGTTATAGTGAAATCTCTGTGAAACCATTAATTCAAAAGACCAAATCTCAGAAACAAACTAAAAATTTGTATTGCATACGAATACATACTATGAGAATAATCATTGGGAAAAATGACTTACGAATTGTGAGCACGCGATAGACATGTGCAGGAAAAAATAAATAAAACGAAGAGCGTCGATCGAGCCAATGGCGGTTGGTCGAGGTGAAGCATTTTTGCCTCTGTTTTCTTCTTCTTCTCTACTGTGAAAATCCTTTCTGGTTTGATGAAAATGTCTTTGATCTCATTCGAGTTAAGGAATATTATATTAGGGTTCATTTAATTTTGTTTATTTCGTTTCGACACCTATGAATAGAGGTGGCCAAGGGCCGATCCGGCCCGTCAGCCCGGCACTGAACCGGTCCCGAACTGGCCCGAATTTCGGCGGTTCTATGAATCGGAACCGTGGCCATGCGGGTCGGTTTCGGTTCTTTATTATTATATTTTTTCGTGTCCCGTCGGTTTGGGTCGGGCTGGGTCGGGCCGCAAATTGGAAGACGGGCGGTGGTATTGTGAATATTTTTTTTTAATGAGCCGAACCGGCTCGAAATCGGTCGAAAACCGACAGGTCGATGACCCGACCCGTAGAAATTGACGGGCCGGTTACGGGCCATTAAATTGAGACCAGCCGAATCGGCGAGCCGGGCCGAACCGTGACCCGGCCAGTGATTTGGCCACATCTACCTATGAAGTTTGATAATATCATCACCCGGACGTAACAGTCCGGCCCGGCCTACCGGGTCGCCGGGCCTATTATGATGGAGTCGAAACTGGCCTGGAAAAGGTGTTTACGTTTCATAAAACAGGCGGGCTTGATTTTAGGCTGGATTCGGCGTTATTTTTAGTAAATTGCTAAACACCGTCCCCCTTTGACATTTTTGCCCTTCTCATAATTTCAGCCAAAATTCAAAATAAATTCTCTCTTTTACTCTCTTAGTCGCCACCCCGCCGCTGTCGTGTCGCACCTCCAAAAAAATATGAAAAAATGGAACATCCTAGCCAAGGCCGAAGCAAAGACTTAATGATTCCTCCGATATGTTTTTTTTTTCGATTAGTAAAGAATTTTTAAAGGATTTAGCCCGACCAGCCAGCAGCCGATCGCGGTCGGACCTGGCGCGGCGATTTTGGCGATCGACCGAAGCCGACCGCACCATATTCGGCCTCCCTAGGTGGCCGACATGCCCCAGGCGCCCGGGCCTGGCGCGGGAGGTTTTAGACGATCGGTCGAAAGCTCGATGATAAAACCAATCGCATCTTCATTATCTAAATGAACTCGATCATACTATCACGAATACACTTGTTCACCAAGGCACCATAATCGACCTCCCTAGGTGGCCGGCCATGCCCAGGCGCCCGTATTCTTCGGTCGGCCATGCGTTCTACGCCTGGGCCTGGCGCGGGCGGTTTTGGCAGATCGGCCTAACGCTCAGCGGCCGGCTGCACCATAATCGGTCTCCCTAGGTGGCCGGCCATGCCCCAAGAGCCCGTATTCGCCATCGGCGCCCTGTCTCTGGCCGCAATTATTATTATTTTTTTAATATTTGAAATTATTTTATTATATTTAAATTTTAAAAATAGAATTGACTTAATTTATTTATTAAAGTTAATTTGGATAAATTTTAGTTTAGTAGATATTAATAATATGTTACTTATAAATAATATGTTATATATATTAGCTAAATGTAATTATATTTTAAATAATGATAATAATACTTTTTAGTACTACTAATTATTTATAGGATAATGCATATAACTTTAGTATTTTTATTAAACGAATTAGTTGTAATATATGAAATAAAATGGTTTGTTGAGTAATAATTAGTTTCAAAACTTTTAATTAGTATTCTACTATACATTGAAAAAATTGTTTTAGTTAATTACGTGGTTACGAATAGTTATTGTATTATTTTTTATACTTTTTAGGAAAATAATTACTTGTAATATTTAATAATATATTTTAGGAATAGTAATAATTAAAAATATTAAATATGCTTAGTTAGCGTAAATGTTAGTAATAAAAAGTTAATTATTATTATTTTATAATAATTAATAAAATATATGAATTTAAAAAAGTTGTTTACTTATTATTAATTTAAATTATTGATTTAGATTGGTGGTAGACCTATGCGACCGGCCACCGATGCAGAGGCTGCTGAGTTTTATGGTTCTGGACCCCGACACACGAAGAGTCGGTTTGTAGGTGTTTCCACTCATGGGGAAAGAGACGAGATGATGCGTCAGATTCGCATGAGACAGACTGGTCAAGCTGACCAGGCTGGCAGTCGGAGACGCCTCGCTCCAGTACAGACCGGTCAACAGTCTCGCTTCCAGCAGCGGGATGATTATGATGAGTCGACAGCCAAGAGGCTGCAGTTCTGAAAGGATTCTGAAGACTTTGACTCTGCATATGAGAAGGACATTATTCCTCATGTTGCACGACATGCTCCTCCACGTGTTGGGAGCCGTTTTTGCGAGCATTGGATCCGCAGGTAAATAATTTACGTACTTATTGTTGTCTACCATTAAATATTTATTTATTTAATAATAGCATATTATTGATACAGTCAGTCACAATATGTCATATATATGTTAAATTTTAATGCAAATACTAGCAAACGATATAGGAGTGCACATGAGGCTTCTTGGGTCGTTAGAGGCCAGTCTCCGGTGGCCCTCTTGATGAGAGTGTTATCCCTAGCTTCCTAGGGCACGTAGATCCCGTACGTGATGGGAGAGTTCAGAGTGTCCGGTGGCCCTCTTAATGAGAGTGTTATCCCTAACTTCCTAGGGCACGTAGATGCCGTATGTGACGGGAGAGTTCAGAGGCGTGCTTAAATGCCAGAACTGTCAGGGAGCACACGACAAGTTATAATGCAACCTCTTAGGAATAAAGGAGTCGCACAATATAAAATTTCACTAGATGTTAAAGCCCGAAATGTCAGTAGGCAAATCCCGAAATTGAGTCATGTGATTCGAGTTGCCAACAATAGTTAAAGTTGTGTATATATTTATCAAATTTAAAAGTGGTGGGTCATGGTTTTTAAACAATTAAGCCTTATTTATTTAAATGTATTAAATACAGTGTTTTAAGACCCGGACCGGCCCGGCAGGTCGACCTGGAGCCGGAACCGGTCCGGGTGGAGTATTTGGACCGGGCAACCAAGGACCCGGTCAAAACCCGGCCGACCCGGCCGACCCGGGGCATTGACCCGGCCGGGTCAACCCGGTTGACCCGGTCCATATATATTTTTTATATGTTTTATTTATTTATTTTTTAAAATAAAAATATGTATATATGTTTATATGGAAAATATTTATCATGAAATACATATTATTAGCACTTTAATATACAAATTTTATACACAAAACATTTAATTTGTTACTTTTATGTATATTTATATAACAAAAATACTCTATATATAATTTTAAAAATTTTTAAATTAATTATCCAGCAATTGACCCGGTAACTCGACGGTTGAACCAGTGACCCGGTGACCCGAGGACCTGCCCGGGTCGATCATCTGGCCGGATTTAAAAACTATGATTAAATATTCGTATTTCGTACATCACACGATATAAATTTACACTATTATATGGATTTTCTCTGTAAGGAATGTTTGGATTACATGGCTAGTCCAGTGAAAAGATTGCACTGTAACCGTTTCTCAATGGAAGTAGGAATTCCACTACGTCCAGTTGTTCCGTTAAACCCAATACGGCGCTGTTTTACTCCTTGCCGGCGGTCAACAAGGGCTTCTCTCAATCCGCAGGTAGAAATATCCTCAATTCAGTTATCCCCTCTCAAAAATATGTTGAGCAAAATTGATGGAATTTCTCCTGTTAACAACGGAAGAAAGGAGGGTATCAAGGGCCGAAGCCCAAGAGAGAATGGGTAGCGGATTGGGTGTCCAAAAACGACGACGTTGTGCGGAGCTTGCCCATATACATCGGCGGCGTATCTCTCTTGGCCGTGCTCTTCAACCGAACTCTCTCAGGCATTGCTCCTGTTGCTGACGCCAGCAGGTACACGCGATATCTCCCCAATTATTTAGAAATAACAAGGAATGCTGAAAATTTTTTTGCAGTTCCTAATGTTGAGCAGTAACTTATGCCTCAATTGTAGTGCTAAGAATTTTCCGGTCGTCTAGTGTGGATTGGTTAATTTAGTCCATAGCTGCAAGTGCATAAGATTTTCTATCATGTAGAAAAATAGTTAGCAGGAATCTTGTGATGTTAGTAAATATGAGCTGCTCCAGTCAAGTGGGATTGAAATGGATATTCTTGGTGGTGGAATTAGTAACGTATTTGTAAAATACTCATAATAAATCTGTAATGGAGTGCATTCTGCTCTTTCTAATATCCAATTTAGCTTTAGGAGTGATAATTATAGTGTTTCATACAATGGTTTACGATCCTTTTGTTATATCTGGCAGTTCACAGTCGAGAGCCGATCTATTGACCCTTGGGTTGGCCGTTACCAATATTTTGAATGGTCTCGTGTGGCTCTCCATTAAGCCAAAGTCAATTTCTGTGGTGAGGAAACTTGGACATGTCTTCTAATTTGCTTTCTCTCTTTCTCTCACCCTCTCCTTCTCTTCGCACACACATACAGATTGTCATCTAGTTTAGTTTTTGTAGACTATGAACATTTTTCTTCTCCATGCTTAATATATCAGGTTAATCCCAATGGCTTGCAATGTCAAAGAGTATATGACGACCTTCCTGATTCTGTGATTTCTGAGTTACTATGGTATGGGTCTTCATCTATTTATCACATTTTTCTTTGCAATGATCATATTTCTTGGTCTTGTTGACTGATGAGATCACACTTATTGACTTTTTGCCCAAATACACGCTACACGCATGTAATGCACTCTCAACTTTCTACACATTCACACATTAAAAGAACACACTACACACATTTCACACCAACATGCACCACACATTTCTCATATGCACACGCACACCCACACGGCACACCCAAAAGAATAGTAAAAGAAAAATGCTCTGCAGAAATTTTGCATTTTTTATTCATAGAATGAAGGTCTGATAATGATTAATATAATTCTCAGGGCATGGGAGTCTCTTTCGAATGCCACATGCTGCAGGTCTCTTGTTATCGTTTACGATGGCATTTGCATTTTGCAAATTGGGTATGCTGATGTGTCTGACTCAAGGGGAGGCGATCCTGTGGCTGTAGACGCTGGCAAGTTGATGAGAGGATCTCTTTATAATGGTGTCGTAAAATCTGGATCACGTGAGATTTTGTCATGGTTTATTTTGTGTAACTAGCGCAGTTCTATTGAGGCTTTGTTGATAAGGTCAAGGTGAGTTTAACCCAACATTTTCTTCTGAATTCCAGAAAGTTACTTGGCCAACGTCTCACTCTATCCTGCCAAGTCTGAGCTTCTATTTCTACCTTCAAATACACAGGTGATTTTGTTAGTAACAGATTCTCTCTCTCTCTCTCTCTCTCTCTCTCTCTCTCTGCGTGTGTGTCTGAATTAGTTAATTATTACATAAATTCTTATTTGTAATTTAGTGCATTATCATTCTTCTCATTTTATTGATATGTGATACACATTCTCCGCTGGCTATTGTGAATTAATTTCTATGATTTCTGTGATATCTTTAGGCAGTTATATTGCAACCTCTCGGGAATAAAGGAATCGCAATATTAGGTGGGGACACAATAAGAGGATTCTCTACTTCTGACCAGGCTTGGATCACATTGATTGGGGAGAAGTTAGACACTACACTTGCTAAAGTTGTAAATAGAAAAGAAAATTGAAAGAATGAATTAGAGTATCAAACTCTTGGTTGCACTCGAAGTTAAAGGTATCCTTTTTGAATTACTGATTATCATAATATAATAGAGTTGTAGATTAAAAAAAAAAAATCTTTTTTGTAAAGAAAAATAATAGTTACATTTTGTATGTTGCTTCTGCACCGGACTCTGAACTTCATATGGTATTGTATACCTCCTTACTTGCTGGCAGGTTATGTCGATTGCATACAGTTCAATAAAACGTGTGGTGTTGTGCGTGTATATGGTGATCAATATCATTAATACTTCAATTTCAGGCTTCTTATCCAATTTCTGATGTTGCTATTCCTTTCCTTTNCTGTAATCAATAATTATAATGTTGATAACAGAGGAAGAGCTTAAATAGAGACTTCATTGTCTATGTTTTTACTTGAGAAGATAAAGAAAAATGAAAAAATAGTTAATGATGAATGCCTTTTCTTTTTTATTATTTTCCTTTTTTCCATCGGCTATTATAGAGAGTTGTAGTGAAATTCCGCAAGTTAATGAAAAAAAGACTATGTTTACATTTTTTTCTTATTTGATGGGATTAGACAATTTTATCCCACAAAACTTTACACATCAGCATCTGGGATAAACAATTCTCGTTTACATAACATCATTGCATTTAAGCGAAATCCTATCATGTGTTTACTGCCGGTTGATAAACTGATATGATAAATATGTATTGACAAAAATACCCCTTATACAAAATCGAGATGCAAATCAATTGTCTTCCACCTTCTCTGTTTTCACCCTCGACTGTAGCCCTATCCTTCACTACCGAACGAGACCGAAGAAGATTTCTTGCCGGTGGTCGGAGACGACGGGAAGGAGGAAAACGAATGTACTGAAACGTAAAACACTCCACCCCCATTTGAGGAGCACGACGAGGCGAAGGGATTTCAGGTTACCTCTTTCCAATCTATTTTAATCGCCAATGGGAAAAATAGTTTCTATGAATTCTGTGGCTTATTGATGTTGGGATATGCTGATGATAGTGGACGGGATGGGTAGCTATAGCCCGCTTGAACTGGTGTGCAAATGGTGTACAGAGGCAGATTTGATTCTGCCTCTTTTTGGTTTGTTACCTTCTTTTGATTTTTTTTTTTTATTTTTTTATTTTTTTATTTTTTTATCATCTTGGGGATTTGATGGTGTTTAGTTCTTAGTTGGGGTTTTAAAGGTTCAATTGAAAACCTATGTCCACCAAACCCTGTGTCTGATTTGCATATGTATCAGAGGCTCATTCCCGAAATAAGGATTTTAGATAATTTTTTAAGTTGGGTTACTTTGTTTTCAGATTGAAAGACATGCCTCTATTGGCCTACCTTTGTTTTTTCAGAATATTAATATTAGGGAATATGATTAGTTTTCAAGAAATGTGCACCACAATGAAATTTACATCAAACTCATTCATATGTTCAATCCATCTCAGATGAAGTTATTGTGATGTCTGGTTTATGATCTTAACTTTAAACTTCATTTGTTTTTTAATAACATGATTTGAAGTTACCTTTGTATTTTCTTTCCATATTGATTTTTGTTCTTTAGAACAAGGAGAATCCTCCCTCATATGTTTGAAGTGTTATGATATTTCCATTGGTATATTTTTCTACCAAGTTATTTAAGTGTATTGACAGAAAACTTTTGCGTAGGTCATAGGAAGTGTTAAAATGAAGTGTACATGTAAATGCAATAAGAATGTCGAAAAATTGTCAGTTTTGCAATGTTTTGAAATAAACGCGCTTGTATATTGTTGATTGTGCTCTGCTGATAGCACATAAGTTTTGAAAATGGATGGGGAAGACTAGAAATAAGAGAGGGATGAAAAAAAAGAGTTCATTATGTGAACAGTAGTTAAGAAGGAATAAGGCCATAACTTCTTGTCCAGCTTACCTTTAAATCAAGTTGGTTATATTGTTATTGTCTAATAGGCATGTAGTAAGAATCAACCAAAAGTAAGTCATCCTGAGTTGGCTGAAATCATTATTTCATGCTGATAAAGTATGGTTGTAATATAACTTGTTTTCTGCCTCTAATAAGTTTTTTACCTATGTAGAATTTTTAATATATCAGATGTTTTAGATATGTTATTACTTAATAAAAAAGTAGTGCATAGTTTGAAGCATATGAACTCTTTGTCCAACTTACGGTATGGAGTTCCATCTTCCGCCCGAGCGAAAACAATATTTGTTTAATGATAAATGGACAGTTGAGGTTGACTAGTCGTTCGCATGTTTGTTGGTATCGGCACAACCCCATTTGCCGATGTTACTTGAAGGCAATAAGAAAGACGTTTACTCATTGTTTACCTTAAGCGCGGATGGGTTGAGTATTGAGTTCGGTACATCTTGTACTACAATAGAGTGTGAGAGCAGGTTTCAGCAATTTAGGGGAAGGCATAGGGTGATGAGGGAGATGATTACAAACTATGGTATCAACTATTATTGTGAGAGTGGTCTCATGTGGGGACCAAAAGAAGCATGGAAAAGGGTATTTACTGTATGTATCGTGATCACATTCAAAGGTATACTTACATTTCAAATGTGTTATTCTATTATGTAATTGACATTATTTATTTTGCAGGATGAACCTATGAGTCTAGCCTACAAAACTATGGGAGACCCGCAATGGGCGAAATTGCAGATAATTTTTGGTGAGGTAGACAAGGAAACAGTCCACCCGGATGTGCAAAGTGCTTCCAATCGCATTATGAATGTTGAGCCAGATGTTGATAGTCTTAAAGGAAAACAACCACTTTTGTAAAATTATTTATGTATTTTTCTTACTGATACTCGCTCCATGAACCTATGTGACTCCTAGTGAACCAGTCAGCTTCGTATCAGTAGCTTCTCGAAAAGTAAGTATTAAAAGACGCACGTATGTTGCAGGCGACATTCCCATCCTTTTCTTCAGCAACTCCCCTCGTCTAAAACCTAGCAAAGAGACCGAAACCGCAGGAAAGGAAGTCGGTAAGTACGTGGTAGCTCGGTAAGACTCTTGCCCAAACCGGATCTTTATTTGATGGTAGGGGAATTGAAAAGATCCCGAAAAGCAGGACAGAGGAGTTAGCAGCCACAGTAGTCATTTGATCACCAATCAACATAGCATCACACTCATCTGATCTACGACCAAACAAACTTTTCGAAGCGCAGTGAAGTCATAGCGTATTTGGATTTGTCTTCCTACCTGATCTTCGACCAGCCTTTGACTTACCCACTTATCCATAGCTGTGGACTTATCAACTGGTCTACTTTAGCCTTCCTCAAAGAGCCCAGGATAAGGGCAGTCCTCCACTAGTCAAAGGATGGGAGCAAGTGAAGGGAACCGATAAAGGAGGCATCGGTGTGTATCTCGAACGGCTTCGAGAAATCAGGCAATGCAAGAACTGGCTCCAGTGGAACAGCCAAAAGCTGCTTAGTAGTAGGAAGGAAGCAAATAAAAGTATGCCCTAAGGGGAAGCGCTAGAGGTGTATTTTAAATGCTTGGGAGACAACAATGGCTATGTCATGAAAATTGGATGTTATGTGTTTGTTAATGTAAATTGAAACCCTCGATGTTGAATTATGGTAATTTATGGGTGCTTATACGAATATTATTTGCAAATTGACCGAACAAGCTATGACAGTACAATGTCAGCTTGCTCCAACATCATATTCATTGTGTTGTAAGTTTGCACTTGTAAATTAAAACTTAGTAGTACAAGGGAAACCTATCTTGATAGTTTTTACACATGTAATTTTGACTACTCTTAACCTAATAATCTTAAACAGTATACATGATAACCTCAACGATAATTGTTTATTATCTGACAATAATTTAATAATAACGCCATAACAAGTTGAAATTATAGATGTGGAGGAGTACGTTGTGTTTAGACTGTTTGGTTGTTCGAGGTTCAGTTTTGTTATGATTTGCAATGGGGTCAATAATATTTGTTTGTGGACATTTAGAAGTCATTATCTTTGCTTTGTGTCTACTATGGTGAACTCAACCCGTGCGTTGTTTGTTGATGATTTGCATCTATTATTTAGTTACATGTATTATGTCTTTTACCTGTTTCACTTGTTGTCCATTTGTTGCCATGAATGTTGTCGTAAAAAAAAAAATGCAATTGATAACAAAACAGAAGTACAAGCATAAACACAAACCATTGAAAGCCAAAATACAAATAACGATAACCAAATCCAAGTTTCTAATATCATCCTGAAAAGCGAAAGAAATACAAAATAATGTTCGCAACATCATCCACACAAGTTCATAACATCATATCCAAAAAGTTTGCAACATCAACCACATCATCCACACAAGTTCATAACATCATATCCAAAAAGTTTGCAACATCAACCACATGCACACATCCACTACATATTAGACTTCCACTACATTTTGACTTTGAATTTTATGACTTCATGCACACCATCCACTACATATTAGACTTCCATTATATTTTGACTTTGAATTTTATGATTTCATCATGTGGGAGGAGAAAGAAGTGCAAACAGTAGTACCAAAAAACGAAATCCCGGAAAAAAATCTAAAAAAGATTAATTCCGAATACGTTAACACCTACCATAAAGGCCGCATAATAGTTAGATTGACTAACCGTGGACAAATCACAACATATGTCTCGAATTCAATGTTCTGTAAAGATGCGAAATTCAATTTAGGAAAATAATAAATGAACATAATAAACAAGATCATAATCTTTTTATTTATTTCTTACTTTTTTTATTTACTTTTTACTTTTTTTTCATTGTTTATTTACTTTTTATTTTTTATTTTCATCGATTATTGACACAAAAGTTTTTAAGAGAGAAGATGAATTTTGAGCGTGATTGAGCATGAGAATATATAGATGATATTGGCATCACATAATTTGGAAACAATGATGGATAGTTAAGAAAGGTGTTTGCTTGGATGAATATTAGAAATTGTTTGAGAACATGTAGCATCAATTCTTTAAAAATGTCTACCAAAGGGACCTGTATGAGAAAATATGCCTAGCGAATTTTTATCGAATTTTAGAATACTGTAGCAGAAAATCATTTTGGAAAAAAAAGTTACCGAACGTGAAATAAAATGAAACTCCATGCACACTGCCATGTCACTTGTATTAATTAACTTAAATAATCAAGTAATGGTACATGTATGTATCATTCACATAAAACATCAATAATATAATATATCATTCACGAGCAGAGCACCACCTCTCGAACCAAACATCATTTAATGAAGTACATAAACCAACTCTAGCTACTTATCTTTTATTTCTCCACATTGAAAGGTAATGCAATAAATTAATTTTATTCTGAAACATCAATTACACCCAATCTCCTCCATTCATAACAACATACTTGAGCATGAGTTAGGAAGTTCAAAATGCAAGTATATATATGTAAAATAAATATTTCGAATCATATAATCACAACAGAAGAATGATTTCTAAAATCCAAGATACAGCCTCTCACCATGCTAGAAACCTATCCAAATAATCAGCATCCTAAACGTATATCATTAACCCTCCCAAGTCAATCATATTTCCCTTCCCAAGGCAATAAACCTGTCGAAAAATCAACCATATTCGACAGCACAAAATCCCTAAGCCCAGTGTCCCAAACCTCACAAAACCTTCGGGCCCAATCAGGCGGCTCAACTGCCTCCGTCCCCAGCCCGGGGGTCCGATCCCTCGACCCTTCGTTCTGATTTTCCCTCCAATCCGCCACATACGTCCCAACCCTTCTATAAAACTTAGCCCTAAAAACCTCCCACACTTGGTACTTATAGTGATTGATTATTCCCACGCTTTGCGGCAAATTCAGGTACTCAAACCCTTTCTTTAGACGAAAATGGTGCACCACGTTGAGCAGGCTAGGATCCAGCGCATCCACCCTCACGATCGATTTGTGCCTCTCGGCATTCAGAAGGCGACACGTGTACCCAATTGTCACACCCTGCATCGGATGCTTATCCTGCCCAGACGGCCCGAAACTATAACACGACGTTCGTATCTCACCTACATTTCTCGACAAATTCGACACTAATGCATTAAGTGAATTTCGGCCCACATAGTTTAGCTTCCGGGCCTTCTTTTGCCGGTGAGCCGAGTATGGGAAGTAGAAATATTCGTCAACGTCCATGAAACCGACCCAATTGCACTCGTCTCTTGCTCTCAAAGCACAATGAGAGAAGCCCGCTTCTTGGGTTTTGATCCACGGCCAAACGTGTCTCGTCACGTTGTAGTTCTCGTGATCGAGTTCTTGAATCACTCTATCGAGTTCGTCGTCACTATTGTTGTCATACACAAACCACCTCTCGACTCCAAGCCAAGAATGGTACGTAATCCATTCGCGTATGGCCGAGCCCTGGTTCCAAACCATCGTACACATGCAAAGATTGTACTTTTTTTCTCTAATATTTTTTCTTTGGGGCATTTGATCGAAAACCTTTGCTACTGACGGCAAGAGTATCGGATTTTCGCGCCCCGATTGTAAATATCCAACGGTAACGCGAATTTCTTCGAAATTTTGAGGGTTCGTCTGGATGACACGTGGCAGTGGACACCTTACGACTTCTTGGGCTGCGGTTAAAGCCGTTGTACTTATAAGGTTATAACTATTACCGTTCATGTCCGATTTTCGTACTCTAAAATGGCAAGTAAACAAACTAGGATCAGACAACCGATTGGCCCTCAAATTCAATCCCTTCACGAACACAACAATAGTGGTGGTGCTGTCGAGGGCGGCCTCATACACCACATTTTCCCAAGAACAAGAAGACTTATTTTTTTCATATACACCCCCCAAGAAAATTCTATTATTAACACCGGCCCACCTCAAATTAGCATCAGCTGAATAATTCAGAGACATTGGGAGTGGGCACCTAATAAAAAACTTAAACTGCTCGTATTCATCTACAGACAAGTATCTCTGCACAGAAAAATCGCTACTTTCATTTTGATCTTTACTAAAATAAACACATTCCAGTTCATGACTGAAACCCCTGTTTTTCATCAACAGCCCAATATCATTGAAACCGCCAGCAACTAACAACAGAACATGATCGGGGAAAATGACCCTGTTCTCGATTTCCAAGGGCGGTAATGAGGTGCCAAAATCCTTAACTGGTTCAGCAGTTGAGCTATAACTGTAGGATGACAGCAAAGACAAGCTTGAAACCACTAAAACGGGGTGAAAGGACGAAGAAGCAAAAGGGTTTGTGTGGGATAATAGGTAAACAAAGGTTAGGAAGGTAAAGCACAGGACAAGAGATCTTACGGACAGCAAGTGTTGAAGAGATAATCCGAGAATATTGCGCTGCTGTTTTCTCTTGCGGCGTTGATGGTTTGAAGAAGGGTTCATTTGATTTGAATTGTTTTTTATTTTAGGTAATGAAATCAAGGACAGTTTAAGAAGGAAATTAAGGGTTCTGATAATGGAGATGGAATGAGAAGGAAAAAGAAAAGGGAATGGAAAATTCTGTGAGCAGATCTGAGTGTGTGTGGGGTGACAGAGGTCAGTGGTTGGTGAGTTAGCCCGTGCGATGCACGGGTAAGTAATATTAAATAATAATTATAAATAAAGATGAGAATAAACAATATTAATTGATAATTATATATTAAGATGTGGGTAAATAATATTAAACAATATTATAAATTAAAGATGTGGGGTTACATGTGATACAATTTACTTATCTTGTATAAAAGAACATAAAAAATATATGTTTAGAATATTAATCACGCTATCACACGTCTATGCATTCAGAGATCCCAAAGACTCGTAAGATCCAACTCTTGCCTAGAGGAAAATACATGTGAATTCCATTGCTTATGCATCTAGTGCACCAAAAATTCTATGGAGCCATCAGATGATTTTCTTATGAAGTCATCCATCACTTGATGTATGGACACTGTCCAAATTGTATTTATTGTACAACACGTGTCAATACACTATTTATTTTCATATGAAAATAAATAGTGTATTTATTTGTGCCTTTCAAGCTTTCCTTCATATACATAAAAAATGTTGAGATCCATTAGGAGCCAACAAAATAGACATTGAGAATATCCAAAATCTACAATTAAAATCCATGAAAATGGTAAGATTGCAATTAAAACTTGTACCACAGTAAAATTTCAAATAATGTTCGCACATCTTGCACTTAGGCTAGCAGCAACATGGTTCGAAGAAAATATCCAAAAACTTTCCAAGGATAATTCACTGGGAACATCAAACATTTGAATCCTTTGTGTTCCAGCTAAGAATCCATTGGCCCTCGGAAACATTCGGCAACAGTGCCAAATCCAATCTTCTTATCACTCTCGCCAGGTAAAATAACAACTGCATGTTTTTCTTTCTTAAACTGAGATTGTAAGGGTACCATGGTATCACTTATGAGGGCTCATAACATTACCAAAATTTGTAATTCTTCTATGGAAGCCAATTTTGTCTGTGATTTTTAAATGATTTTTGTTAGAAAAAAACAGGTATGTAAATCAACAACATACACACAATTCATTCTCATACTTCATACCGATTACGATTTGTTTTTTTATTTTTTTATTTTTTTGTTCACTTTCATATCACAAATACACAATTCAAAGAAAACAATAAAAATTTACATAAACAAATCAAGCTATATATAAGTTTGAATAAATTCCTAAAAAAAAAAAATCATACCTTTGGTTGGTCCACCCACCATGATCACAACAACAACACTCTCTTTTGATATCCCTGTTGATCACACCAACAAAACTCCAATCTCAAAGTACTCCACTTCAAACACCTCTCACCATAGAAAAGGAGAAAAACGAAAAGACTAATAAATTATTGTGGAATATCTATACAGAACAACATACATTAATAGCAAGAATATTTTAAACCATCACCTGAATCAATCTATGCTTACATGATTAACATGTTTTGGGATACAGAAATAAACCAACAATTTTTGAAACAATAACAAAATCACAAAGAAGAGCTAAAAGACAAATTGAATTCCACCTTATCAAATTTATCCCCCACTCAATATCATTCTTCAAACTAATTAAGATGGTTGTGGATTAGCAGCAAGAATCAAATCATGACCAACATAAACAAATTCTAGTGACAATAGAACAATAACAGACCCACTAATTGCCACAACATAACACAACCGACAAAAGAATTGTTGAAAATCAACAAATTTGGGTTCTAAGGACTTTATCGAGGTCCGGGTTGGGTTCTATTAATAAGGCTCTGGTAATTGAACCCATCTCAATCTAGTAGTTGTCCTACCAACATCAATCACAAAGGCAACACTTAATCAATGCAGATACACATAGACGAAATTGCTCGTCCACAACAAGTTTGGCCAAAATTCTATTGAAAGGAATATTCAGTATCAAAGAATTCTCGTCGAGGCAAATGACATGCAATGTAGAACAATACAGATATGAGAATGATACCATTGTTCGTGCGCATGCTTTAAGAGATGCTCCAGGTAAAAAATTAATGTCGACCTTATATGTTCTTTTTACCACACAGGTCAAGTTGGACACACTAACAGAAACAACAGACGAGAAAACACCCTTCTACTCGGATCTTTAACATCTCCAAGCAAGAATTATGAAACAATCAACTCTTTCGCAACATACTCGAATGGAATCAACTGAACAATTACTTAGGCCCCCATAACAGATTCCAAAAGTCTTGCCTCTTTTAGGTGTATCAAGCTAACTTAATATTGTAACATCAATTTGTAATCCTTATACTGCTCGATATTCTCATCATATTTACTTTACGTTTAGTCTTCCTAAACTTCAAATAGCAGGGAATCTGATAATATGAAGCCACAGAGGCATTGCAAAAATGAAAATTGAGTAACGAATCTCTTAATGCAGCCATATCAGGAGTTCAACAGCATCAAACTATAAAAACTTAAAAAGGCAGCATTTTGAGCTTACCGGAGTCTACTTGCCCCTCCACCGTCGCTACGGCGGCCGTCGGTCCACTACATCCTTATAGGCCCTCTCCTCATTTTTTTTTATGTAGCAGATGACAAGCAATTATTTGAATTTTTTATTTTTTTTATGTAGCAGATGACAAGCAATTATTTGAAGAAAAGAAAATTGTCGATACAATCAGAAAACCCTAGGAAGAAAGAATGTGCGATTGAAAAAATTCACCATTCCCCGAATTGTGCGTGCCATCCTTGCGCAGGGGCATGCTAATCTTCTCTGTAACGATCCAACTTTGAAAGATGTCACCGCAGTGACATACATTAGGCCAGAAACAATGTAATATTAAGACGCAATATTTGGTACTTCTTTTCCAATGTGGCACAGAAATTGAGAATTTGTACTGAGCAGCTCTTGCCTCTTGTATGTATATGGGCCGAGATGGGCTTTTGGGCGTTTACGTTCTTCGTGGGCGGACTTCGTATGGGAAACATAGTTCTCAATTCAAACATAACTTCTCTAGATTAAATCTTGTTTGTGCAAAAATATTTAGTTTAAATTGTAGTAATTCACAATTTACACAATTATTCACTAATAAAGCTAAGCACAACATGTCCAAAAATATAAAAATTGGGAAAAAAAAAATTGCACAGTTATTGATTGCAAAAATGCTCACTAACTCACATATTTGGACAAATCATCTACAATTTTAATTAGTTGGTGGGTTAATGGGAAAAACTATCATTTATCCTAAACTAATGATAAATTTTGCAATCCTGACTATTTTATATTGTTGAATACTTCAACATATATTATTCTTTATAGTCTCAATGTTGTCCTTATTATCCTCTTAAATAATTATTAACAGTGTTATCATTTTTAGAAGGAGGACATAGAGGAGATCATTCTATTGTTCTTTTTTTTTTTATTGACAGACATATAAAAATCATAATTTAATAGACATTTGGTAGGTGAATCTTAAAAAATTTCTCATATTATCTCTCTAATTATGGCGACAAAAGTTTCATATGTATTTTTATTCACTTGATTTAATTATTAATTTTAAATATAATTATTTGCAAGAATTATAAATACACAAACATATATTAAAAATAAAGTAACGGTAAAATGTTAGTTTTTGTTTTCTGTTTTCTAACACAATATCTTGTTTAACACTGGATTTCATTCATTTTACTACATAATTTTAATAACATTCATTTTTTTTTTGTGCATTATATTTAAATTTTGTTTAAAGAATAAAAGGGTCTAAATTAAAAGTTTTGCATTATGTAAAAGGATTATATATAAAACGATTTGTATGAATTTTTGGGTTTAAGGGAACATTTAGTGCACAAATATTGTGATTAAATAATTTATGTTATATGTCGACTAAGAAAATGGGTAGTGAATCAAGATGAATAATGAAAGTTTATAACTACAAAACTTAATTATTCTCTCTAATACACGAGGTAGATGAATCATAATATTAGGCACATGGTCAAATATATNTATTATTATTATTATTATTATTATTATTATTATTATTATTATTATTATAAGATATGCTTAGTAATTCAGAATTTACCCAATGATTCACTAAACCGGTTTTGCTATGGCGCCATCGGATGGCTCATCTTATGGAGTCATCCATAGTTATTCACAAATAATGTATTGACACGTGTCCTTCAATAAATGCGCATTGGACATGTGTCAGTTCATAAAGTTATGGATGACTTCATAAGGGAGTCATCCGATGGCTCCATAGAATTTCTGTTCACTAATAAAAGCCAAGCAGAACATGTCCATAAATATAAAAATTAGGCAAAAACTACATAGTAATTGATTGCAAAAATGCTCAATAAATCAAATGTTTGGACAAAATATTTGCAATTTTAATTGGTTGATGTAGACATGGCCAAATGGCCGGGCCGAAGGGTTGGGTTAAGTCGACCCTGAACCGGCACGCCCTATATCCGTGCTGGGTCCATGGCCCAGCGGGCCGGGCCGGGCCCGACCCGGGTCTGGCCCGTCAAAATAAAAAAAATGAAAAAATTCAAGAACAATTAATTTTTTTTTTCGGCCCGGACCCGGCCCGGCCCGGCGGGTCGGTGTCGTCAAAATGAAAGCCCTCGACCGGCCCGTTAGCAATCCGTGCCGGGTCGGCGGGCCGATTGACCCGGTGGCCATGTCTAGGTTGATGGGTATTAATGGGTAAAGCTATCATTTATCCTAAACTAATGATATATTTTGCAATTTTGACTATTTTGTATTGTTGAATACTTCAATATATATTATACTTTAGAGTCTAAACATCGTCCTTATTATCATATGAAATAATTATTTTTGAGTGTTTGACGCCTCTCCTGCTTTGGCGAATGGTTCCTCTCCTTCTTTGGCTTAGGTTGAGCCAATTGCTCCAACTTTGCAAACTCTTCTTCCGTCTCCTCCAAATTAACATATTTCTGAGAAATTGAATGGTCGGTAGCCCATTAACCATCATACTCCAAATTCTCAAAAAGCTCGGCATGAATTCTAGATTTTAGAACCATTCAGTATGGAACACAATTAGACACATGTAGTGTCTAATAGTGGTTTAGAAGCGGCAAAGAGCTTTAAATATTGGATCGATCTTTTTAAGGTGTAGCTTCAAGTTTAGCATGGGGCCTCTTTGGTGAAAACTGAAAGCAGTGAAGCAACCAAGAAAAATAAATTATTTTATTTGATTTATATATGCAGAAGTGCCAAACTTTGCAAGTAAGTTGCTTCTTGATGCTTCGTATTTCTGGAGTTTGCTCACCTGCGTGTGGTTTTTTCATCACATAACATACTACCAAAGATAGAAAATAGTCACAAACATATCCGCAACTTGCTTAATTCTGAGGTTGTTATTTGTACATTTGAATAATGTATAATTTACATATCCTTTTTGTTAGTATACTTTGAACAAAATAATGTTGTTATATTGATTAGTGTATCGTAAATTATGTTCGCGTAACCCAAACCCAATCTTATTTTATAAAATAAATTTTAATAGTATCCTCCACGAGCTATGAACTAGTTGATAATCTTATTTTATAAAATAAATTTTAATAGTATCCTCCACGAGCTATGCACTAGTTGATACTTAGGAAGAAATTGGAATACTCATAGCGGTTACAGAATTCACTATATACATCCAATTGAGCATACATTTCACCTCAGGTTCCAAAAACTAACTTAAAAACGACCCATCTATAATAGATCCAACTAGCATAAACCCAGATCTCATCAGCTAAAATAAAAGAATAAAACAACCCTATCTCCGGATAATTTTGGGTTAAATCAATTTCTTGAACTGTTATCACACTTGGAAAATTCAGCTTTTGTATACCTATGCCCCAACCCTTGCAAGGCCTGGTTCCTGAAAGGAGAGCAAGTTTTTGAATTGAAGTTGTTGTCATCAGCTTTCTTCCAAAACTTGGGACTTAGAAACTCGGCCCCAGCTAACATACAACACGTGTTATTATTACTATTATTATTATTATTCTTATCAGTGCACGAAATCCTGCCAGTGGATATAGCAAAATCTTGGGACATCTCATCCAGCACCTTCTCCAAGCCGTCCACCCGTTTTGCCAGGGAACTCATTCCTTTTTGGGAGCTGCCAATAAATCTCTGCAAAAAATTACAAAATCCGCAGATCAATACATGTTTAACCAAAGTTAAAATGGCAAACTTAAGTTCACACATTATATTTCACAAGAGATCTACATGTTTAATAATCAAGAAAATATACCATTGTCATTTAAGAAGAAGGATGAATTAAAAAATCCCCAAAGGTTTGACTTAATACATAGAATGATCAACTTTCACAACTACTTTAATAATTATCCATAAAGATAAGTCATAGTTACCACTTGAAATTTGTTTTCCCTTTAACAGATCTGACCCTGAAGAGGGATGGTATTGGTTATGTAGACACAACTGCCAAAGAAGTTTTGTAACATCTACAAGTACTTGTAATTTTAGAAATCAATAGAGCTAAATAAATATTATTCTAAAACCCAATTTTAGGACAGCAGCAATCATATATTGGAGAATAAAGCCACATCAGTAGCATTTAAATAAGAATAAACTGGTTTGACATAGTATTTTGACATAATTGTAGACATAAATGGTGCAAGCATAGGAGTGGTTGATTTTAAAGTGTGTATTATCTCAAACCGTATCATATGTCACCTATTACGTTATTGCAGCATGATTCTTTAAATGACTCATCATCGAGAAGACACAATCAAGCTCAATCAATCACACAAGAATTGAGAGACAAGTTAGTACCTGGAGGAGATCCAATAAATTAGATTGCTGGTTTTCAATATGCAGCAACTGTTTGCGTATGAGAGACATGTCCCCGAACTCCCTTTGACTCTCATAGTCATCTTTAACGGCATAAACATCAGCCACGTCTGAATTCTCGTTGTTCCAGTTAAAAGGAACCACTCGAGACCGCAATTTTTTCCTGAAATTCGGCTTAGTATCTTTGGAAACACACTGCTTGATGTCCTCTGTTTCAATAATGCTTTTCTGAATGCTTATTGTAGACGAACAAGTAGACGGGGGTGACTGGCAAAGCACAATTTTCTTCACTTTGGGAGTTTCTAAGCCAGCATTACAAGGGCTGATTGGAAGTGGACCACTACAGGTATCTGTTGCTCATATGGTCAGTGTTACAAATCAGCATTTCCCAAACAACTAAGTCAAAGGTTAATGTCAAAATATCAGCATTTTTCATGTGTAATCACTTTATTTTGAGATGGATTGGGATAAATGTATAACTTATGCATTCTGCATTTATATAATGTAAAATAAAAGGCAACAATGCAATATAAGGATTTCTTTTTTCAAATATCCGGAAAACACGAGAATTTAAAGTCAATAGCAGGTAATAATTGGTTGTGTTACTTAGCCATAACAGGATAAAAAGCCTCAGATAAAAGAAAAAAAAAAAAAAAAAATTGATCTCTTGCTGCAAATATGAATCACTAGACTGGTAACTCCACAACCAAATACCGTGTGCCTACTAAATACGAGTTGCTGCAGGGGATTATGTATCAAAGTAATGCTTACAATCGCCAAGTAACACCCATTACAAATCAAACATGATCTTTTCTGATAAAGAATTACTAAATTTTGGCTTGTGAATTCAGGTGAAAGTGGTAAAGCTGTAAAACAAATCAATACATTAGCCGACTTTTTATTACCTTTTGGCGATGTCACGTTGTCAGGTAGTCCGGCCAGATCTTTCCACACCTCCAATGCTCGATTCATCTTATCCCTCACATGCTTCACCTGTTACAGATAAAAAAACTAATAAAATTCACAAAATTTCACATCGCAACTTTGGTAGGGAACAACATGCCAATTAGGAGAAAATATAATTAGGGTATGATGAGAGGTTTTTACCTTATCAAATCTCCTGCTCTCTAGTGCATCCACGCAGGGACCTTTAAAATCGGCCGCCAATTTCGTCTCCCTCAGCGCCACCTTCTCCAGAACCTCCGCCGCCGCTTTCCTCGTAGCCCAATCCTCACAGCTCAAAAACTCCACCGCCGTTGAAACCACCGAACTCAACAAACTCCTATTCCTTACGCAACCCCCGCTCACGACACTGCCAATAAACAATAGCAGAGCAGGCTTCGCCTTCGAGCAATCACTCCTCACCAGCTTCAAAACCCTAGGAAGAATCCTCCTCAGCTCTGCCGCGTCCGGATCCGGTGCCGCCTCCACCACCGCGGAGAGGCACAGCGACGCGCCGATCTGCGCGTTCACGTCCTGCTCGTGGAAAAGCGCGTCCACCAGAGGCTTCAGGATGACGGAGAACGGCGGCGACCGGACATGGGTGGCAATGGAGGCGACGGCACCGACGCAGGCGGCCCGGACGGCGGAGTCAGGGTCGCGCAGGCGGCGCAGGACGGCGGATACCATCCTGGACAGGTGAGGCGACAGGGCATCGCCGTGAGCCTCCGACAGAACGCTCAGGAGGCGGACGCACTGGCGACGGACGGGGGATTTCTCCGACGAGGCGGTTGTGTGGAGGCAACTGAGGAAAGGCGCGAAAGTGTCGTTTTGAAGCGTCTTGGCTATGCTCTCGAGCTCGTTGGCCGCCATTGGTAGCGTATCCCTGTCCGAAAGCTTGCTCAAACAGGTGTTAAACCGCGTTTTCAGGTCGCCGGAGTTTTGCTTCGCGAGGCCCATGTTTCCTTCACACGGCGATTGAGAGGGAAAGAGGAAATAATTTGGGTTTTTGTAGAAGATTGTAGAATTTGATATAAATATTATTTCGGTTAGTTTATTTATTTTCGTTAATTATTAGTCGGTCGAATTTGAATTTTTTTTTTTTTAAAAAAAGGAAAGCTTGCATCGGGAACGGGTATAATAGGTGCTCGTAAATTGCAAAAATAATTACCAAAAATATTGTGAAAAATTTTTGTACAACAATAAATGGTGAAAACTGGGGACCATTCTTTGAGTCCTTGACAAAATAAATTACACGCAAAACGTCAAGAGTGCAGAAATTGATAAGGAACAGGGCACATTTTATTTTACAAAACTATTATTTTATACGAGGGCCACGGGAAGTGTGTTTATATATTGTTATCCTCTTAAATAAATTTATTTCACTAATATTATTTACTAACTATTTATTAATTGTGCAGACTAAGGGAAATATCTATCAGCTGGAAGTGTGATTATATATTACTAGTACAGAGCCCGTGCGATGCACGGGGTGCACAATTTTAAGGCTATTTATGCAGACTTATAATTATATACACGAATAAAGAAAAATGTACGGGCTAAGCACGGTATATATTTATTTGGAGAATATTATATTATAAGATGCAATATTCAATAAAAGTTCATAATACCCAAGAAAAGTGTACAATGTTCAATAAAAGTTTTATAATATTCAAGTGGGGTCTTAAAGTCTCTTGTACATTAAAACTACTGACAAAATAATATTTTAATTAATGAGTTTCATTTACTTGTAGCCAAATTGTGAATGTGATTTGAGGAGTACAACAAATCGATATATAGCTGACTTGCTTTTTTCATTGTAGTTTTTTTTATAATGAATTTAAAGATATTCTAAAATATAGCAAAAATTAATTTTTTTATTACAATTAGGAATTTTACTAAATATAAACTCTCAATCTATGGTGCTAATCAACGTTTAAGTCTAAAAAATTAGGAATTTTTACCTCTTTTAATCAACGTTTAAGTCTAAAAAATTAGGAATTTATACCTCTTTTAATCAATGTTTAAGTCTAAAAAACAATAGAGTTATTATAAGTTTTTTTCTACATCTCTTAAAACATTAAATATGAGCATGTTAGGGCTAGCTTGTAAAATAATTAATATATTATCTCACTAAAACATTTATACTAATAAAAATTTAATTTTAGCATATAAATTTATCCCTTGATATAAGAGAAAGTGACAGTTTTACTTATTGTTGTTCACCATATAATATTTAATTATTATTTTATTATATAATAAAAAAAATATTGTTAAATAGTGTAGTAGAATTGTTATAAAATTATATGATTTTTTTTTTTACAATATGGATTTAATATTTTTTTATGATTTGATAATATAAACAAATCTATACTTAACTTTGACAAATAAAACAAATAAATACTTTGGTAAGTATTTAATGTACATACTAAATAGGAATATATTTGGTATAATCAAATACCAAATATAATCATATAAGTCAAAGTGTACATTTCTCTTTCTATTATACTTACCTTTTTAAAATAAAATAAATAAATAAATAAATTAAATAAATAAAATATTATAATACCAAAATAGTAATGACATTTAATGCAGTTGACTTTTTTGGATAGTAAATGTAGTAAATAGAATATCCTTTTATATAGCATAATACAGAAATAGTAATGCAATAAATGCTGTTGACTTTTCTGCCTACTTAATTTGGTAAATAGTATCCCTTTTAATATAAGTATAGATTAATTTATTATCCTCTTAAATAAATTTATTTCACTAAAATTATTTACTAACTATTTATTAATTGTGCATACTAAGGGAAATATCTATCTAACTACACTTGTCTTGCCTTATGAGGAGAGTCAAGCTGCGTACTCAAATCTTCCATAATTGATAGCTGCAAATCAATCAAGAAAGTTACATTGTAGAGAATGGCTTGGTAGCGAAGTCAGTTTGGACCTCCCATATTGAGTTTGATACAAAAGCATTGGGTAAAAAGATGAAGAAGTGAGTTTTCTGAAGTTGCAATCGGTGTGATATTCAAAGGGTAGAAAAATCGTGTGTTCTTATTTGTGAGTTTCATTGAGTTTATTTTTAATTTATTGAGTGGTGAATCGAGAGAGAAGTGTTCTCGATCACGTAGAATTATCTTCATATTGTATGTGGTTGAACTGAGTGTTCGGAAGAAACATTTAGATTAGCTTGAGAAATTCAAGTTAGAAAATCCACAAGGGATCTGTGGTCGGAAGAGTAATAGTGTAGGTGATTATACCAAAGCCTTTGTGTAATGGCCGAGACACTTATACTAATGAAAGAGTTTCGGAAGGAGAGTGAGATGCTCCCCTGAAGGTTCATATTTCGTAGAACCTTACTTTCCGTATTTGAGTGAACTTACTACTATGTTTACTGTTTCTACAACGTAGCGCAATTTTGAGTAATACCTCATAAATTTCACCCGTGACTTGTATTTTTGTGTCGGGTTGTGTTATTCTCTGTAGAAGCGTCTTCGGTTTGCTAGTTCAGGTGGTGGCAGTGTTGGTGAAGTTTGACAGTGGCCAAGGAGGNTGTTCTGCCTTGTGGGTTTGTATGTTTTGGTTCGTGTAGGATTGCGTTTTATGTTCGATATTTTCTGTTTTGAGGGGGAGCACGGTCAATGGCTCATCCGATTAACTTCTTATTTTTTTTTATTTTTTTTTTCGAAACGATAGATATTATAAAATCAAAGAACACATAATTATAACTAGACATCAGCTAGTAACAGCAAAACAACCAAAACGACTGAATCTAGCGAGATGGCTACTCAGAGGTAGCCTAGAAGCAACTGTGTTAAACTCACCCACAATACAACACGACTACAAGGGGAGAATATCACCTCCTCATAAGGAAGAATACCCCGCTCCACAACTGGAGAAAAAAACACACCAAAAAAAAAATAAATCACACAGAAAACCAACAACAAACCACCAAAAACGACACGCAAATGAAAAACCTGAGACAAACAAAAAAGGAAAAAAAAAGAAGACAAATACAAAGTTTTAATTTGTATCGTGTTGTTATGTGGCATTTAACAACTATAAAGACAAGTAGTTAATGTATGAAATGCTAGAAATTTGTATTATTAGTGGATGATTATGAGTTACAAAAAATCGGCTTTCGTTTGAACCGAGTTGTTTTTATGTGCTTGAATTTAATGTCCGGAATCGGATCCTTGTACAAGAAATAAATTTCGCTATTTATAGTAACTTTTATTGGCTCGTCATTCGAGGTTGGTACGGCAACATTAAATGCAAAGCGCCTTTATGAGGCAGTTTTCTGCAGGTGGGCTCACAGAGATGATGACGATATGTGTGGTGCGCGGTTCAGTCGCGTAGGCGCCTTGTCACCTACTTTGGATCTCGGTCTCCTCGGATCTCGGTCTATGAGGAGGACCTCGGTTCTTGAGAAGTCGGTCGTCATTCCGAGTGTGAACTCAGTTTTTTTATTCCACTTGTGCCGAGTTGCGCCATGTTAGGATCGTTGGTCGAATTGAGCGATAATCTTCAATTAACATCTATAAATCTAACTTGTAAACCCGACTAATCGCGTCGGCTGTCGACATATCCAAATAGTATCCATTTGGATATGCCAATACTCTNAGAACAACAAGGACTTGTACATAATTGTTGATGGGACCTCACTGGGTACATTTTAGAAAGTGAGATTTTCCATACTAAGATGACCCTATTTTAAGGCTATTACATACTCGCAAATAATGCAAAAATCACTTGAGAATTTACAATATTTTGGATTCATTAAAAAAAAAAAAAAATACATGTCTCGGGTTTGGATTACTTTGATATTTAGCCACGATGTCTATAGTGTAGCTAATATCGAGCCTTGTGCACAACAATCACGCAGAAAATTGACATGGTCTAAAAAATTCTATCATCTAATACAATTGCAAGTGGACTGCGTCTTGCTGACGTGACAGCAAGAAGAAGAGACCAAGTCTATTCTTAAGTATATTATACACTCAAGTAGAGATACGGTTTCTTTGCATTAGAATAAATTGTATTGCTTTTATATACCTATATCAAGAATTCAAGGCTTGTGTTTGTTTGATGCAAACAAAATTAGACAAAGAGCATTATGGATGCTTAAAAAAGGCTTGTGACACTTGCCTTTTACATTCCATGTGACCAGTATATGTTATTTAGCATTATTTGAGTACTGTTTATGATAGTAGATTTAAAATGGCTTATCTAAAAGTATATTTTCTGTTTGAGTTGTCCTGGGCCCACTATTTTATTTTATGACCTTACGGTTGGTTGGTTTATCATTGTTAATCATATGGGAACAGTTGATAATAGGCTTGTTTGTAGTTTAACTATGCTCTCCATTCTCCAATTAAAGGAACATAATAAGATAACCTACATTTTATCTGTTTATTTAGATGTGTCACCTTTTTATTAGAATTGTTTGGTTGAGTGTCCTTTTATCGTTAATCATTACTGCCGCATATTGTAACTAAATACCTAAAATTTATAGGTGAAACGTCCAATATAATTTTTGATTTATAACTTCAAATTGAAAGAAGTTCACCATCCCCAATCAAATCTGAGTGACCTGATTCCCTGCAATTATTCCTCATGCTTGTCAATTAACAATTATCATCATGCCTGTTCACCAGCCACAAGATATATATATATTTTTTTTAATTTTGTTTATTGAAAAGAAAAGCGACTCCTTAAAACCATACCATCAGCTGTTTGGAAATAAAAATTCATTATTTATCAGAGTCTAGTACTGTATCATATTTACAATAAGTATAAGATTAAAATTTAAAATAAAGACAACTAAAATAATTTTTCTAATGACAGTAGAAAAATGGCCCCAATCAGATCTTCAATTTATTATATATTCTATCTATACTTATATTAAAAGGTATACCATTTACCAGATTTAGTATAAAGAAAAGTCAACAACATTTATTGCATTACTATTTCCGTATTATACAATCTATACTTATATAAAAGGAGATTCTATTTATTACATTTACTATTCAGAAAAGTCAACTGCATTAAATGGCATTACTATTTTGGTATTATAATATTTTATTTATTTAATTGATTTATTTATTTGTTTTATTTTAAAAAGGTAAGTATAATAAAAAGATTTTAACAATAAAAAAATCAAATACCAAATAAAAATGTACACTTTGACTTATTTGATTATATTTGGTATTTGATTATACCAAATATATTCCTATTTAGTATATACATTAAATACTTACTAAAGTATTTATTTGTTTTATTTGTCAAAGTTAAGTATAGATTTGTTTATATTATCAAATCATAAAAAAATATTAAATCCATATTGTAAAAAAAAAAATCATATAATTTTATAACAATTCTACTACACTATTTAACAATATTTTTTTTTATTATATAATAAAATAATAATTAAATATTATATGGTGAACAACATAAGTAAAACTGTTACTTTCTCTTATATCAAGGGATAAATTTATATGCTAAAATTAAATTTTTATTAGTATAAATATTTTAGTGAGATAGTATATTAATTATTTTACAAGCTAGCCTAACATGCTCATATTTAATGTTTTAAAAGATGTAGAAAAAAAAACTTATAATAACTCTATTGTTTTTTAGACTTACACGTAGCTTAAAAGAGGTAAAAATTCCTAATTTTTTAGACTTAAACGTTGATTAACACCATAGATTGAGAGTTTATATTTAGTAAAATTCCTAATTGTAATAAAAAAAATTAAGTTTTGCTATATTTTAGAATATCTTTAAATTCATTATAAAAAAAAATTACAATGGAAAAAGCAAGTCAGCTATATATCGATTTGTTGTACTCCTCAAATCACATTCACAATTGGCTACAAGGAAAGGAAACTCATTATTAAAATATTATTTTGTCAGTAGTCTTAATGTACAAGAGACTTTAAGACTCCACTTCACTACGCCAAAAAAGGCTTCAGATAACACTTTTTACATAACGCGTTTTTAAATAAGTGTTATCTAAGAAACACATAACCCTTAGATAACACTTATTTTAACAAGCGCTATAAGAAGACTACAAATACATAACACTACTTTAAAAAGTGCTATGTGAGTTATAACACTTATTCATATTATAACACTCATTTTTAAAAGCGTTATGTAAGTTATAACATTTATATAGTGTTACATAACACTTAAACCTATTCCTATTTGTTCCCCACTCATAATAAAAACAAAAATTCAATTTATATTAAAGAACCAAAAAAATCGCGCGAACTACTCCAAAAACTACTCCAAACAAAAACTTTGAGGATTCTTAGAACCCTACTTATCGCTACTGCATTCTTGGCGATTTTCGTCTTCAATTCCTGGAGTGGTTTTCACTCGAGCAGAAGAAGGAGAAGGGATACGAGATTAAGGGCAACAAATTTCGTGAACCACCTTATTATCAACCAAGGTATGATATATATGTTCAAGTAATTTTTTAGTTGTTTTGGATCGTGTTTTAGGGGTAGCGACTGTTGTTAATTGGAAAATAGGCATAAAGTTATGAATTTGCTGTGATACATAAGTTGTTTGATCCATTATTTTTTTTCTTGTGACTCATGTTTCTTACTCTGTATATGATGTCGCTCATCGGCAAATTCTTTTTTTCTACTGGATTATGTATGTGTGTGTGTGTGTGTGTGTGTCTATTTGAAATTACGGAAGAGCTTCAAGTGGTTATGGCAATGGCAACATACTGTTGTTTATGCCAATTGTCTAATGTCTTTACCCCTGTTCTTGTCAATATGAGGAAAAAGTTCCTGACCAATCCGAACCCCAATTTCGGGTCAGGTGAGATAGCTAAACGGGTTGCTTAATTTTGGGTTAAAAAAAAAAGATCCTTTCAATAGGAGTTGGTGTCATTAGTTCTATGTTTGTGTTGGTTTAATTAAGGCTTTTGGACAGTTGTGTTGCCTGATTTTCTCGTTTTTGAATTTGTGATCAGGTTGGGTATTTCTTAGATTTTAGTTGGTGGAGAACAGTGACTGTGTTTGAATATCATAATAGTTGTTTTCGTTTTTCTTCTCTATCTTTCTATTTCATTTTATTGTATTTTGTTTCTTTATCTTGTCAACTCCATTGAGGGCCTCCTTTTTTTTATTTTTTGTGGCTGGAGGGGTATTGTTCCATCAGAGGCTGTAATTATTGAAGATGTTGGTTTATTAGTTGTTCATACCCTTTTCATTTCTTATACACCAATGAGCATTTGCTATCCTGTGCAATAGGCTTATTTCTAGGTAGTTCTAACTGTTTTAGGAGTGTTAGTTGTAGTGCTTATGTGCGTGAGGGTTCTTTACGATCTGAAGGCCGATAGGCTCTCGTTTGTGCCCGACGACTGTTTGAAAGACACGGGAAAAATGTAAGAATTTGGCATGTTTTGAATCTTTTGTTGTCAAGTTTATATAAATACAGAGTAATCTGGTGGGCTTATCTTATGCATAACATCTGGCTACAGAAAATGGCTTAAAGTTGGTTTTTGTGTACCATTTGGTAATAATATGTTATGCAACAAGTAATAAATGAAGCCATTTTCATGAACATAATTTACATAAACTTGGTTAGATATATAGTTTTGGTGCATTCCATGAACATATATTGTTGAACAAAAAAAAGAACATAAAAGTACAAAAAGAGTTCCGTTGTCGGGACTTCTCATAATCTAATTTTCTGTATCCTAGTTTACCAGGTGATTAGAATTCATTCAAGAAATTTGCAGCTTGGGTGGACCCGTCAAAAGGTTTGCGTTTGTTGCATTCGTATGTCGCCTCTTGATGCAGTTATGTTTATTTTATTGTTCAGTTTATGCTACTCTTTGAAGAGTATATTGCATGTGATTTGATTCAATTTGTGGATAAATTAGAATCACCGAATCAGTAATCATGTTAACTATTTGTTTTTTACTCAAAGGTTACGAGTATAGGTTTTTAACTATTTTTAACAAATTATAAGGTGGAATCTTTCACACACTAAAGCTCCAGTACATTTCTCTATGTTAAAGGTTATGATCTCAATCAAAGTTACACCAGCTACCAAATCGTGTTTATACAACAGATGGAGACTAGTTCCAACAGGGGATCCTGGGGAAATTAAAATATTAAAATGAGTTTATTAAACACATATGTTATTAATTCAGGGTATCCTTTGTTTTGAGCAAAATAAAAACAGATGGAGACTATCCTGAGTAGGAAAACCAACTCATGCTTCTCGAGTATAAATTTCCCTCAACAAAATGTGACATAGAGATTAAAGAGACTGATTAGCCAATGGGTATTAATGTGTCGATAGCAGCTACTACTATTTGCTATCTCTACTGATATAGCCTTTTTTATTCCAGCAAATCTGTAGAGCCTGGTTTGTTTCCATGGTACATTCATTTAAATATATATGAGCCAATTAATTTTTCTGAATTTTTTATAGTAAAGGAATTTGGTACATGCACGCAAAACATCAGCACTTGTGTTGCAGAAAGTCTAAAGCTGACCACACAATCTCCATGTGCAAGACAATAATTTGTTAGCATATATTATTAATAACATATAACATATATATATATATATATATGTAATGTATGTGTATGTCCCTGTGCAAATATTTGTTTGCTTTCTGAAAGGTTTGATAACAAATGGCTTTGTTCATTTGGTCCTTATTTCAATATTTATTTTTTTATTAAATGTCATGTTCATTGCATATGTAGTAAACGACAACATTATAATGCAATTTTTCTTCGTCTTATTCTTCTTCTCATAACGGTTTTAGGTCTTATAGTTTTCCCTTATACTTGAAAGTCGAATATATAACTTATACATTTTTTAATTTTGACTGTAGTCTCAACAAGCATCGAAAAAGATTTCGTCTCATTGATAGAAAAGGTAATTCATTTTTCTCTTTCTGTTTTAAATTGATAAATATAAGCATATATATTTATTTTTGTAAGTATATATGCAAATTTAGACATATGAACTTATCATCTATAGGAACTATAGGTTTATTTTCTTCGTGTCTATTTTGAGATTGATGTTAATTTCTCACTTACCAAAATAACTGTACTTAATACTTTATTAGATCAAGAAGCTATGGATCGAAAATGGATGTCTGCCAGTCGATTGTCAAAAGAATACGAGGACGGTGTGAAAGAATTTGTTAAATTTGCTGTTGCACATGCAGAATATTCTAATAAAATCACCTGCCCTTGTCTAGATTGTTGTTACTCTAAACAGATAGGTGTAGATGATTTGGTCGATCATCTAATATGCAATGGAATTGATCAAAGTTATACTTGTTGGACTAAGCATGGTGAGATGAGAAAACAATGTCCTGATCAGAAAGATAATGTGAATTATTCAACAAGTAACCGCTATGCAGATGTGGATTATGAGTCTGACCAACTTAATGAGATAGCGGATATGGTCGAAGATGATCTTCGTGATTGTCCGGAGATGTTTGATAGATTGGTAAGCGATGCTCATAAACCATTGTATGATGGTTGCACTAAATTCACAAGATTATCTGCTGTCCTGAAGTTATATAATTTGAAAGCTAATAGTGGTTGGTCCGACAGGAGCTTCACTGATTTATTAAAGCTATTAAAAGATATGCTTCCTATCAATAATGTTCTTCCTGGTCGAACTTATGAAGCCAAAAGAATGTTATCCTCCATTGGCATGAGTTATGAGAAGATACATGCTTGTCCGAACGATTGTGTTCTATTTCGAAAGGAATATTCCTCTTTAAAGTCGTGTCCCAAGTGTAACGCCCAACGATATAGGAAAAATGGATCATCTCCAGCGAAGGTGTTATGGTATTTCCCTATAATACCACGATTTAGGCGTTTGTACCATAGTGCTGAAAATGCAAAGCACTTAATTTGGCACGCGAATGAAAGGTGTAAAGATGGAATGATTAGGCATCCAGCAGACTCTCCTCAGTGGACAAAAATTGACCATGACTACCCTGATTTTGGCAAAGAACCAAGAAATCTACGTCTTGCATTATCCACAGATGGGATGAACCCACATGGTATACAGAGCAGCTCTTATAGCACATGGCCGGTTATTATGATGATCTATAATTTACCCCCATGGCTATGCATGAAGAGAAAATTTATGATGTTGTCTATGTTAATTTCAGGACCTAAACAACCAGGAAATGATATAGACATTTATTTGGCACCTTTGATAGAAGATTTGAAGCATATGTGGGAGATAGGCGTGGATGTGTATGATGGGCATATGAAAGAAAATTTTACATTGAGAGCAATGTTATTTGGCACCATTAACGATTTTCCAGCCTATGGTAATCTGTCAGGATATAGTATAAAAGGGCAGCGTGCATGTCCTATATGTGAGGATGATACTGATTGGTTGCGACTTGAACATGGCAAGAAAAATGTTTTTATGGGCAATCGGAGATTTTTACCTTCCACTCATCGTTATCGAAATTGGAGGAAAGCGTTTAACGGGAAGCAAGAACACGGCAGAGCTCCAGTTCCATTAACAGGTGATCAACTTTTTGAAAAAGTAAAAGATATAACCAACAAATTTGGTAAACCTTTTGCACGGGATCTAAAGACAGTCGGTTGGAAAAAACGCTCAGTCTTCTTTGAGTTGCCATATTGGAAATCACTATATATAAGACATTTCCTGGATGTGATGCATATCGAAAAAAATATTTTTGAGAGTGTCATTGGCACACTGCTGAATGTGCCAGGAAAATCTAAAGATGGCATCAATGCTAGGTTGGACTTAGTTAATATGGGTATAAGAACGGAGTTGGGACCTATAAAGAAGGGCACACGCCATTTTCTACCTCCTGCATCTCATACTCTCAGTAGGAATGAAAAAATTACAATTTGTAAATTTCTTGATGGAGTTAAAGTTCCGGAAGGGTACTCTTCAAATATCAAGAACTTGGTATCTATGAAAGACCTTAAGTTAAAGGGGTTGAAGTCCCATGATTGTCACATCTTAATGGAGCACTTGTTACCGATAGCTATTCGATCAGTTTTGCCTGAAAAGGTACGGTGGACAATAACTAAGTTGTGCTTTTTCTTCAAGGCGATTTGCAGTAAGGTGATTGACCCCGGAAAATTACCTTCTTTACAGAGGGAGGTAGTTGTCACATTATGTGAACTCGAGATGTATTTTCCACCGTCTTTTTTTGACATTATGGTTCACTTGACCGTTCATTTAGTTAAAGAGACTCAGTTATGTGGACCTTCTTATATGAGATGGATGTATAGGGTTGAAGGCTTCATGAAAGTGCTAAAGGGATATGTGAAAAACCGAAGCCGACCAGAGGGCTGTATTGCTGAATGTTACATTATGGAAGAAGCAATCGAGTTTTGTGGTCAATATCTTGGCAACACTGAAACAGTTGGGATACCGAGGTCTCGACACTTAGGAAGAACAACAGGAGAAGGAATCATTGGAAATGAAATAGTGACCATACCATCTCTAGATTGGGATCAGGCACATTTGTATGTCTTACACAATGACGATGAGGTACAGCCATATGTCCAACGTCACAAGGATATACTTAAATGTGCGAATCCAAATAGAAACGAGAGTTGGGTAACGAGGGAACACAATAAAAACTTCATATCTTGGCTAAAAAATCACATTTTTGCATCATTAGCTGTAGATTCAGCATCAATATCTGAAAGGTTGAAGTGGTTGGCGAAAGGCCCTAGCATACATGCATGTTCTTTTAAAGGTTACATGATAAATGGATGCACATATTATACAAAAGAGCAAGATGGTCAGAGTACTATGCAAAATAGTGGGGTTACATTGGTTGCCGAGTCCATGCATATCTCAAGTGCTAAAGATAGGACTCCAACATATGCAAATATGTCATACTTCGGTGTAATTGAACGTATATGGGAGTTAGATTACACAAAATTTCGAGTTCCTGTATTTGGTTGCAAGTGGGTTGACAATAATACTGGTGCTCAAATGGATAAAGCAGGGTTTATGCAAGTGGACCTTAATAGGGTGGGATACAAAGATGAACCCTTTATTTTAGCATCACAAGCTCAACAAGTATTCTATGTGACCGATCCTTCGGATTGTAAATGGTCTATTGTGCTGTTAACCAATAAAATAGTTGAACATGTTGACGAGAATCATGAAGATTTAATGTCTGAGGACGATCCATTTTGCTATACATCACAACCACCCAATAGTGATCCATCCATAGATGATACTATGTACATGAGAGATGATCACAATGAGGGGGTTTGGGTCAATCCGTCATTTCATATTAATAAGAGACAAAAAATTGTGAGTTCGAATAAGAAGAGAAAAAGATTAGCTATAAATTAACACAGGTAAACTCTTATCATATCTCGAATACTATCTCCATATGTGCATGTTTGTCATTTTTTTCTTATATATTGTTTCTGCTGGATATTGATACTCGTTTTACAATTTCAGATTCATCTGTTAAAGGGAGCTAAAAGGATAGCTGTGATTGGAGCTGCTTTTAGGTATGTAACTCTCTTTTTGTACATTTTGCACAATCACTTGGCCATGTTGAGTATTTAAGTTACAGTTTGTATATTGATTTGTACTTACACCTCTTCTTGGGATTATGTTATCCACTTTTAAGATTGTATCAATTGTGGGCCAAATTTTCATATATCCCTGGAGAGAGATATTTAAATTCTATTTCATGGACAAAAAACTTTTTAAGGTGCAAATCTTCAAATTTTAATAAAAGACAATAATATAAGCCTATTGAGGTACAACATATTACAATTCTTTTCTTTTAAATAAATAGATTGGTCAAGTTTTAGGATAAGATTTGACATTATGACTAGTCATTTTTATGAATTGATCATTTATATGACATTATTATAGATTATATATAAAAATTCACACATATATATCAAAACCGTAAAAATAAATTATAGAAATTCACCCAACTGTAAAAATAAATTAGCTTTTCTACCCATTATCCTTGCAGTTTCCCACTTCCCAGACCTGCATCTATTACTTCTAACATATACTAACTAACAGGCCAACAAGTCATGTGTTTTTCATCAGTGTGAAAGCTGTGAAAAAAAAAATGAAAAGAAAAACGTACCAGGATTTTAGCAAGTATATGTAGATCACACATAGCTTTGGGTTGGAAAATTGGACAATGTGTATAATTGCAAAACTTTTTCGTATAAAATTGATGAGATCCTAGTGAGTTTGGAGCTAATTAGGAAACTTTCAGATTGAGTAGTAGCATTGAGGAGTATTACATACTACCATTTATTTTTATCTAAAAAATTGGGAGATTATCCATAGTAACATAACATATATAGAAAAAAAATTAATATAAATAAATTATTCACAATTTTTTTTTCTTTTTTTCTTTTTCTTTTTTCTTCCATCACATCTTTTTCGGCCATGTTTGTAATTTTTTTTATCTATCCACTTTAAATTTTTGCAGGTCAAATGGAGAATCTAGAAAGTGATGATTCTCATTCTGATGAAGATGTAGTTGCTAAGACTCGTTCACGAACAGTTGTAATGAAAAAAGTCATTCGTGCCCGAAATAAAGGGATAAAATTTAAGGTAAGTTTTTGTGGAACCTCTATTCAATAATTTAGTAGTTCTTATAGTAAGATATAAATTCAACATTTTATGCTATACTAGGTGAATTGGAATGATTTGGGTCAGCCAATTGAGCCTTATGGGTCGATGTTTATCAGCACTATTGGGAATGTAGCTCGTGAGAATATTCCAATTACAATTGATGATTGGAGAAATAAGGACTTAGACGTATTCAAGGATCTCATTTGGGATATTTTACTGGTGCGTATTTTTTTGTTGAATCTAATTTGTGAATATTTTCATTAGTTTAAACAAATACATTTATTAGTATGAAAAACATTATCATTGTTGATAAGTAAATCCTTGCAGGAGACTTTTGAAATCGGGGAAAAGCACCGTAGATTTGTAATGAAAGAAGCAGGTAAACTTCACAGAAGGTTCAGATCAGAATTGACAAGGGACTTTTTGAAAGATGCTGAAGGAAATATAAATAAACATCCTCCGTCATGCTATGCACGCATGATAACTAAAGAGCAATGGAAAACTTTTGTGGAAAAACGTGTTGACGTTTCTTTCCAGGTAAGCATGACATTTTAACAAATTAGTGACATTACATTTAAATTTATGCATATTTTGAAATTATCAAAATGTATTGACCAGGAAATAAGCAATCAAAATCGACAAAGAGCGTCAAATCCATTGTATCCATATAGAGCTTCACGTATGGGATATGCACGACTTGAGCAAAAAATGGTAGAGTGCATTTATATACACACATGCACACACTTATATATATGTGTGTGTAGGAATGAGTGTGTGTATCTGATTATGTCTTTTTATGTTTGTTTATAATGCTCTGTCACTGAAAATATATCTTGAATGCTTTAATATATAGATAAAAGAGTCTGGATTAGAGGTTAAACGTCTTCCGTGTCACAAGGTGTGGAAAGCTGCTCGTGTCAACAAAGACGGAATTATTGAAAATGAAAATGTCCAAAAAGTTTGGAACGAATGTGTGAGTTTAATGATCTTTTACTTATTTTTGTTAATCGTTAAAATATGATAATAATAATGATGACGATATAAAGGTTTGTATATTATTCTTGTATCTTTTAGGAGAACCTTGCACAAGGCCTATCAGACGAGGATGCAGAAAGAAATGTCCATTTGGATATACTTTCTCAGGCTATAAATGCCAAAGAGTATCCTGGCCGTGTTAGGGGGATTGGATTTGGGGTATCTCGAAAAGATTGTTTTCCTCCAAAAAAGCGTGTCAAACATGATGAAGTGCAAAGTTTAAAAAATAATCTAAACGCAGTTGTGGCGCGGCTTGAAGAAATGGAAAAGAAAATTTATGGTAGCAATGCAAAAGAGGCACAACCTGATTTGTCTGACTTTGAAGGTAACGAGAATGGCGCCCCAAGTTGTAGTGACAACATTCACAAGGTAGTTGAAAACATGATATTCACTTTTATCTTTTTAGCTATTTTACATTTTTTTTTTTCTATTTTATCCTTCTATGTATTTTTTTCTTTATAGATTTTTGTTTTATTGATTCTGAAGCATATGACCGCTTCCCTTTTTTATTCTATAGTCAAATTAATATTTTTTTAGTTGATACAATTGAAAATAAAATATGTTGTAGATCCCGAAAAACCCGAAAAGTATTGGCAAGCAGACTGAGAAAACAAAGAATGTTGTCACCTTGGATAAAAGTCGAGAAAAAAATGCTATTCATAATGCTGTGGATGCTGAGGATAAACAAAGTTCAAACACTGAACCTGACATTATTCCAGAGGTATTTGATTTCTCAATTAATTCATAATTGACGATGTTTCTTTTCTTTTATATTGTTATTTCATCATTGTATTCTTAGGGGTTTTCGGAATGTAATGTCTATCTATCATCACCGACTTATCGCGCGGTTGGTCGTGGCAAAGTGCACAACCGTCTTGGTGAAACAATACACACCAGACCGTTGCCAATTGACCATGTGAAAGTTAGTCTTGAGGTTGCTTTCGAGCCAAATGCCTTGTTGCCTGTGCCTGTTGATGATGAAGAACTAATAACAGTTCGAGATGCAATAGGCACTTTTGTGGCGTGGCCAAAGAATCTCGTTTTTGTAAATAAATCGGTATGTGCAAACCAATAAATCTAGTTTTTTATTTTTTATATGTAGTATATGTATATCATTTATTACACTTGGAAAAAATATAGATCTCAGAAAATCCCCAGAATAAGGGAACAAAGAACTCTAACGTTCCAAAAAGGAATGGGGAAGAAAAACATACAAAAGGATCTAATGAAGTTGGTACTGCGAGGAACGGGTCATACTGTAGCTATCTTACCATGCATGTCCAATTGCTCATGAGACCTGGTGATTTATTACCAAGCATAATGATGGCCAAAGAGATATTTGGTGTATCATTTGAAGAGAAGCTTGGTGTAGATGAAATAAATCATGTTGTTATGCATCAGTGGATTGGTGTCTCTGCTGTTTGTACATATATCAGGTACCATTCTGACTTTTATTGGTTAATTTTGTATGTCGATTTGATATATTCTTTTGGCAAGTAATAATCTTTTTTATGTTTATTTGAGATACTTGTACGAGACGTTTATGGTCTGTAAGCAATTATCAAAGAGGTTCTTCTTCTTATCCCCCCATGTAACAAGCTTTCTACTTAAAAAAGAGGAGCAGATGAAATCCATTGTTGATTTGCTTGATGAAAATAATGCAAGGGATAAGTTGATTCTTGCGCCATATAATACATCGTAAGACTCTTCTTCTGTATATACATATATATATATATATATATTGTCAATAATACATAAAACCTAATACTAAATATCAAATGTTTACTTTTTTTATAGGGTCCATTGGGTGTTGTTGGCAATTAATTTGAAGGCAGAGACGATATATTATTTAGATCCTATGCACAAGGATCCTGATAAACATATGACAGATGTGTTTAACACGTAAGTATATGTGGTTGTTATGGTGTTTTTGTTTTTTGTTGTTTTTTTTCTAGTAACTCTATGGTCTTTCTGTTTTTACTAGCGTATTACGAGTTTTTCGGGCTCAAGTCGGGATGGTCCTCAAAAAATCAAAACACTTGAGATGGAAAAATATTAAGGTACTTCAACATGTTATTTGTAGTAGATGTTGATCTATATATGTACGTACTAACAAATACTTGTTTCTTTTAGTGTCCCGAACAAGCTAACAGTGTGGATTGTGGGTATTACGTTTTGAAATTTATTAAAGACATAATTATTTCTGATGAAATGACTATCCCAGATGAGGTAAATGAATTTAATCTCATTTTCCTGTCATTCCATTACCTACTTATTTTTTGCTATTTTGGTTAAAATGTAATTAATAATGTTATATTTTGTAGTATTTTCCTAGTTACAAGTGCGTTCAATTATCTGAGGAGCAAGTAGATGAAGTTCGGGAAGAATGGGCACAATATGTTATTAAGAGTTGTGTAAGATAAAAACTCTACTAATGTCGATTCGTTTCTTGTTATTGTTGTGTTAAATTTCAAATCTATTACGAAATATAACTAATAGATAATGATTGTGATGTTTCTTTTCAATTTTTAAATCTGGCAGATACATGTGCATTCTCTTCCTACTTAACAGGTATGTATTTTGTTATGTTCCTATTACATTTTCTATTATATTTTGTTTATAATATGTGATGAATGACTTAAATTTGATATCAATATATGTATAATTTTGCGATGCAGGAGGTTGCAATAAAAAATTGTTTGGTCAGGCTATTGGCTAATGGTGGTCGAATTTCTTACTAGGAATATTAGTCTTTTTTATTAATTTATTGGAATTGGAGATTCTTTCATGATTTTGTGTTACAGTATTCTCTTGTACATACACTAACACAATGTTAAAATTAGTGGAATGTGTTTGTTATATTCATGTTTATGTTGTTTTCATGTTGGTTCTTGCGCCGTTGTTTATGGGGTTATGATTTAAGTTATCTGGTTCTTGTTTATTGGTATACGTATTTGAGGACAAAATATATATATATATATATAAAAAAAAATATTATACACAGATAACGCTTTTGTTAAAAAATGTTATCTGATTAATATTATAGATAACACTTAATATAAACAAGTGTTATGTGAAGAACCTTTTACATAACGCTTAACATAAAAAGCGTTATGTGAAGGGTTGTTCACATGACGCTTAGCATAAAAAAGCGTTATGTAAAGGGCCTTTCACATAACACTTATTTTAAAAAAGCGTTATGTGAAATGTTCTTCACATAGCGCTTTTGAAGCGCTATCTGATAACTCGGTCTTCAGATAACACTGATTCCGATAACGCTTAAAAGCGTTATCTGTAGCAAAAAATAAGCGCTATCTGAAGCCTTTTTTGGCGTAGTGCTTGAATATTATAAAACTTTTATTCAACATTGTACAATTTTCTTGTGTATTATAAACTTTTATTGAATATTGCATCTTATAATATAATATTCTCTAAATAAATATATCTCATGCTTCGCACGAGTCACGTACTACATATATCCCGTACATTTTTCTTTATTCATGTATATAATTATAAGCCTGGATAAATAGCCTTAAAATTGTGCACCCCGTGCATCGCACGGGCTCTGTACTAGTACAATATACAATCATTCCGTGCAGGCATATATAGGGAATCTATATATGTATAAAGAGGAGCAACAAAACATTAAATTATATTGTCATGCATTAAATTTTATTATCCACCAAAACTTTCAACATTCAATTTTATTAGTTTTATGCATTAAATTTTATTATCCCTCCAAAATTTTCAACATTCAATTTTATTAGTTTTCACATACCACCTAAAACTGTTACATTCGGTTACAAAACATTTAATTTATTTATTTTTTTTTCTTTTTTTCTTTACTCATCTCAATTGTGTAACGTTTTTTATCACCTCTTCCCCATCAATCACATTATGTAACAATCATTATTTGATCTGATTTGGAAGTATTCATACTTATTTCATTTTCAAATTTCATTTATCTTTGATTACATAAAAATAGTTTTATACAATAATTCAGATTCCAAAATGATGTAATGCTCATTCTTCGATATGATCTGACAGGATTCATGTCTATTTTTGTTGAATGAGTGTAACAAAATAATTATTTAAATATGTATTATATATATATATATATATATTCAAACTTTTTTTATGCTTGAGTACGTAAAAATGATTCACACAATAATTCAAATTCCAAAATTACAAAATCAAATAATTAAGAAATAAAACTAAAAATATTCAATCATCTATTTCAATATATATATAGATATATATCCACCTACAAGAAAAAACAATATATCTAATTGTATAAATCATTAATAATGATTTATATTTCAAACACCAATATATCTCATTATTATGTTGCCATATTCAAATTTTATATATTTTTTCTTATTCTCAATCCAAATGTTATGGTGCAATATTATGTTACTAATGTCATTTAACTAAAAAGCATTACCTAATCAAGAGATGTCAAATTTTCTATGGCGTTATATTAAAATATTGTATATAAAATAAAAATGTTGCATATAAAATATTTTTAATAATATTTAGAATTCTTTTCTTAATTAACATTTTTTTTGAATTAAATTATGATTTAGTATTTTTGTTTTTCTTATNTGTATTTTTATTGTTTTGCCATTTTTCACTGGGAAGAGAGATCAAAATTTAGGTCGCATTTGTGTATAATTATTCCAAACCTAGCAATAAGTATAAGAGGAATTATATCCTAATATATAGCTGAGCTAGATATGGTTCAAACTCAATTAAATTGTCATTATGCAAATTATTAGTTGCCATGCCAGCACACACATAAGCGCACTTCTATTATTTTTAAGCTGACCTAAAACATTACAGCAGCGTACCAGTTGTATTACTTTGTCCACTCTATTACTATACATTCAATTGGTTCCAAAAATAAAATTTTTCATTATGAAGTTGATAGAAGACCAAGAACAAGGCAGATGCAATTGTCCCAAATTTATTTTTGCTCTCTCTGTCCTTATTCTTGAGAATTAATTCAAATTTAGTTGAAACTTAAATCATTTGTTTATGTTAACAAGTTCATTATAAGTCTCCAAATTAATCTTTCTGGAAATCCTGTCCAATTTATTGTCATATATGGCTATGTGAGGAGAACCAATCATTTCAAAAGAAGTCTTGATTTAAATTTATGGGGCCTAATAAGCCCCCAACAATTTGTTCATTAACTATGAGACAGGAAATGTCAGTATATTCAAATATAGTGGCCGTGGTTCGTAAGAAGATCCATATACAACCATCACATGGGGTGGTACCCAATTGCAAATTTAAATGCATGAACATTAGTCAACAATGGCACACCATATTTATTCATCTCATTCTATATGAGTACACTATTCTCGTTAGAGAATATTGCAAATTTGGTTATTAGGATTGAATTTGTTTGTAAAATTGGTCACATAGAATTATAAAATTGGTCTCTGTGATGAACTTCTGTTGTAAAATTGGTCACAGGCCGTCAAAACTAAAGGGACTGTCGCGTGCGTCGTTAGTTTGAAAAATAACGAAATCGCAAATGTAGTCCTGCAAGATTGACCGTGTTGCAAATTTGGTCCCAAAGATTATAAAAATGGTCCTTTACGTTTTATTTTGTGTTGCAATTTTGGTCTCCATGTTACTTAAATGAGACTACATTTGCAACTTGAGACGAATTTTGGTATTCGAGCCTTATGTTTTCAAAAAGTAGTTGATATCATATAATTTCAACATATTATTTCACTTCTCTACATTGTATTAATGTTTACAGTTAAATTACTATACAATATTTTTTATATTTCAAACTATTTTTTAATTGAATAAGCAATATATTGATAAAAATAATTATTTTAATTTTATTATATTGTGAGAGGTTAATAAAATTTTCAAAACAACAACAATAATAATAATAATAATAATAATATTGCCTACTATTGTTTCGAAAACAGACCGAACCAATTTTCGCATTGAGAATCGGTCAACTAAATGGTTCGATTCATTGTAATGAACTAGTTTCCAATAAACCTGTCATAATTGGTTGCTTTGACCGGTCGATTATCTTTTTAAAATCATTTAATAAATATTTATTTATAAACTTTCAATAATAATAAAAATATAAATAAATATATTTCATATAAAATTATCATATCAATTTGGTTAGACATTTGAATAATATTGTTATGTACACAAAATGGTGATGCAATATAGTGAACGGAAATTTTTTTAGGGGCATTTTACCATTATTTCTGATTTTTTTAATTTTGCATTTTCAAGTTTAAAGTTGTACACCAACTTTTGGTCATTTTTTTTTGTCTGAAAACTATTTTCTGGATTTTTTGCTGTTCAATTCACTCTCATCTTCTTAAAGCTACTTCTTCTTGCTTCATATCTTGCGTCGAAATCTTATATTTTCTTGCCTTTGATCGGCGACCTGTTTCTTGGCCATCCTGCAGCCGTGAAGCATGCCAAAACTGCCGCCATCCTGCTGCAATCGTGACCAGCTTTCCTCTACACTAGGCCCTACCTTAAATTTCTTTACCCTTTTCGTTTTCTCGCTGGGGGGGCAATTATATACATATATATATGCTGCAATCGGGCCTTCCTCTTTACTTTTCTGTTGGGCTAATTAATAGCTGACTTTGGGGCTGATCTATTTTTTTTCTTTACTAGGCCAAACGATTGCTGAGGCCCAAATTTTTTTCCTTTTACACATGGTCATCCTGGCACCACAATGTTTTTCCATCATCCAGCCACTATGGCTGTTGCTATCTACTTCTCTTTATTTTATTTTATTTTATTTTTTTCAATCTCAGACTCGTGCTGCGTCCGACCAAACTTTAGGCCACCGCAGCGCAACCATCTTGTTTTCTTTATAGATGCTTGGACTCCTCATAAACTGCGCTAATTTGATAAGTCAAGTCAAAATATTGACTTATCGGGACTGCCGATCGAAGCGCCTCATCTTGTTTGCCTTCGCCTTCATGAACCAGATCGACCAGCAAAGCGCCATGGGTAGAGCCCCAACGTAGACACTTCAATGCTCAAGTCAGAAAAACATCATCTTTTTAATCGTGTGTAATGAATAATCTTAAAAGCTTAGAGAAGTGTCCTTGATTCCGATACTTCTTAATAACGGTGTGGATATACATTATCTTACTTCCATCTTTTTTAGAAGTATTTCTTAAGTCTTTTATACATATTTAATCAGTGTCATATATCTTTTAAACTGCATAATCGGGCTTTATCTTCAGTGGACACTGGTCGGACCAGAGCCCATGGCTCAAGCCAATGCACTTGGCTTTTTGCGCGACATCAATGATCACTTTGTTTGAAGAAATAAAGATAAAACAACATTTTACATCGGTGGCCCATTCACATGCAGAAAAACCGACAGGTCGAGGTCGCGTATATATTTCTTTGGATGGATTCTTGTACTTTGATATTTTTATGTTTTATTTTTAGAATATTGGAATATTTTCATCGACGTGGTTCCAAACGAGAATTTGAGTAGGCCAATATGAAATACCTAATACCAGCCCAATGATTGATATATTTAAAACAAAAAAAAAGGCCCAACATTTGAAGCCTTACATGAGGAAACTGGACCAAAACTTTTGGGCCTTTAAAAATCATTCTGAGGAGAATTTTAAGTAGCCAGGAGTATGAAGGAATTAATGAAACTCATGCAATTTTGGGAGTCCTGGGAAGCTATTGACGGGAGAAAGAAAAAAAGCCGAGAAAGAGAGCGTGGGTCATATATAACGGGGAGGAATTATTTGCGAGAGTGGCATGCCGTACAGGTACGGGGATTTATTTTCTAGAGAGTGGATAAATTAGTCGCCCATGAAAATACTTCACTATTCTAAAAATAAATCATAAATAGTCAAAACAAATAAATTTATTTATATAAGTGAGATAAAATTAAACATATAAAAATATGGTAATAAATATATAAAATACTCACTTTTTCCGACCAATCAACTATCTGCTCTGAGAGTGATTCTGTCAACCAGCGAGTGCCGCATCTTTCCCACGAGACCCGTCTGCCTAGCGACCTAGGTCGCCAGCCAACAAGTGTCACATCACCCGTACCAGACCCGTCCGCTCAACGCCCTAGGACGCCACCCAGCGAGTCCCAGCGGACCAATTCGCCAACCAATGGGTGTCCCATAGTAAATGTGCCTATTTTAGCTAATTGGTATAAATACTCTTAGTCCTTTGTATTTGAGACATTAATCCTTCATTTGATTAGTTTCCACTTTAGGAATTGCTCATTTTCTTATTCTTCTCTCTAGACTTAGGCTTGTGGAGGTTCAGACTCATATTTTCCAGTAACTTTTTTCTACGATGCTTTTTCTTATTTAAATTTCGATCTTTTCACATTTATTTCGCTTGGAAATGCATTAGGGAAGTAAGTACCTAGTTTAGAACTTATTATCTCGATTTTTGCTCTATTTTTCCTTACTTTGTGTTAAGAGGTAAAAGTAGTTTCTTGGCCGAAATTTATGCGTTGAGCTCGGTTTTAGTTAAAGTTGTTAACTTTTATTTTATCTTGCTTATCTAGTGTGACTGGTTGGTTATAGTTCCAACCTATTGAGGTAAAAATTGAGACTTAGTTTAGAGGTTGGTTATTGCCAATCAATTGTTCGACTTTAGTGTCTATTTGCGTTAGTTATGACTCGTTTCTCTTGGTTTGGGTCTTTTTACGGGTTTGCACACTCCCATACAATTAAAGTTTAGAACTTTCTTCCAAGCTGGCTCTTTTAGTTAAATTGCTTTCAAGTGCTTAGAGTAATTTAATTTAAAAATCAACCCCATTCATTTGCTTAGAATGTGCAGGATTTTATTTTCTCTTTTTGTGCTTTCGACAACTAGTTTATAAACGAAGCTCCGAATCACCTCCTTCAGAAGACGATCCGAGGGAGATATTTTGATCGTACACGGCTAAAAAACAGCATAACAAAATTGCGCTGTTGCCGGGAAAGGCAAGTAGGCCGATTGCAAGTTTACTTACTAGTTTTCTTTTGTTTCCGTGTTTCTCTTGATTCTTGTGATTTTTGCTTAATTTCTGTGTTTCTCTTGCTTTCTCTTGGTTTTAGTAATTTAGTAATTAGTTCGTGTTTGTTCCTTGCGTTAGTATCATGTTTCTCATTGGTGCCTTCACAGGTATAGTTTCTTGTTTGTGTGTATGCGAGGTAGACGCAGGTGAGGTACTCGAGAGGAGACACCGCCGGTTGAAATCTACGTTGAGCCACGCATAGACGAGACGCAACTTGAGTCGGCAACTATGGTGGATCAAGGAGAGAAATTGCAACCCCCACCTCTGAACATGAGATATTTCGCACGACCCATAATTAGAGATAACACATCTTGTCTCGTGCTCGGAGAGGCGGCCCAAAATTTTGACTTGAAGACCATCTATCTCAATCAATTACTTTTCTTCTATGACCTTCCTCAAGAGGACATCTTGAACTTTATTGGAGAATTCTATGCGACGGTTAACACCTTTCCTCTACAAGAGCTTAATGAAAATCAACTTCAGATGCGGTGCTTTTCCTACACCTTGAAGGACCGGGCGAAGACGTGGTTTATGACCCTCCTTCTAAATTCTCTTACTAATTGGGAGGCGGTGTATAAAAAGTTCATGTGGAAGTACTACTCCCACCAAAAGACGACGGACCTGCGAGCCCAAATGACGATTTCAAGTCAAGCTTCGGGAGAGACTTTCCATGAGACGTGGTAGCATTTCAAAGGTTATCAACTTCAATGCTCACATCATCACGTTTGTCTCGGAGTCTTCAATTAATTCTTTTATGACGACCTTCACCAAAGTTTGCAATACATGGTGGATCATGCGACCGGAGGTGACATTTGGAGCCATACGGAGGAGGAGATCTATGAGTTATATGAGATGCTAAGCGAAAATTCTCAAAGGAATAGTGTCTGGAAGAGGGCTCCCGTGAATGACGTCGCTCCTTCATCTAGCTCTTTGACAAATGATACGGTCTTGGCTAAATTCTC